CTAGACCCTTCATCAGAAATTTCTGATGAAGGGTCTAGGCCCGAAACGTCAGCCTTTCTGCTCCTATGATGCTGCTTGGCCTGCTGTGTTCATCCAGCTCTGCACCTTGTTGTCTCGGATTCTCCAGCATCTGCAGTTCCTGCTATCTCTGATTCAATTTTAACTATTTTTAATCCAGGTGTTCCTGGTCAAAGGTTAGAATTTCAGGAAGATGGTGGGAAGTTAGTTCTGTGGGGCTCAAATCTATCTAACTGAGGGGGAAGACAGCAGATCAATTCTCTAACCCCACTTCCCGTTGCCACAAGAACAGCAACTGATTTTAATGCTGTATGTGACCAGCAGAGATAGTCAATATGCAAAAACCTAACCTGTATTAAGTCGCCACTCTGACATACTCTAAGACCAAATCATAATACACGAGTAAAGAATACGTCAGCAGACAAATTGCGTCTGAATGAACATCAAGTAAGTAAAATGTACGACAACTCTATCGGGTTTCCAATTGTAGTAGGAAGTAACTTAGATAATCCGAAGTGAAAAATGCATAGCAGTTTTATCCCACTGAAATTCCATCCACTTTGTGCCCATGCATACTTTTATGGAGAATGAGGACCACTGGCATTAGAAGCAACAACTTTATTTAAAATATTGATCAAAAGTGAGAACCATGTCCTAATGTTTGGGTATGCAGAATATATTTTCTAAAAAAACAAAGCACACAAGTGAAACTTCTCTGTCACTTTTAGCTCATCACTATTTCAGCCTTCATCCAGGCCAATAATACATTGAAAGACTGAGCCTTTCTGAAATTAGGTTTTCAAATTTATTTTTTGCCTGATTTGACATTCCTGATCGTTGTTCTCTTCCCACCACTATGTACTCCCAGCAATTGTTCAAACCAGCACTTCAAGCAAGCAATTTTTATAAATTTAACAAAGAGCACTGGGTGCAAAATGAAAATTTCCATTCCAGCATGTCTAAAAACCATTAGCCATTCCATAGAGAAAAATCCATTATTTCTATCTTAAACCCGCTTCCTATGCCACTGATCTTCATTCTCTGAGAAACTATGCAGGGGCACAAAGTGGATAGAATTCTGGTGGGATAAGAATGCCAAGCATTTTCCACCATGCACTTTCCAATTTATCTTGCTACAAGTGGAAACCTGAGTGGAATTGTCCTACATTTTAAATACATCACTTTTGAAGAAAAACATTGCTGAAATGAGACATAAAAGTCCAAATCTTTTGTAATCAGGACTTACATTTAAGAAATCAAACTTAGAAAACAAACATCAATTTATTTAGCATGAGAAGAGGTCACTGATTGGTTGGAATGGAGATGCAACAGGAACTATTAATTGTCAATCTTAGTTAGCTAATTAAACTCAGACTAGGCAATTAGACAGTGATTAGTCACTTAAGGTAACAGATTATCAACTACAATGAATTTGATGGAGCAAATTTGGAGTGTAAGTTGAGGAAACTGCCTGGACAAAGTTCAGATCATAGAATCCCTACAGTGTGGGCACAAGCCCTTTGGCCCAACAAGTCCACATTGACCCTCAGAGCATCCCACCCAGACCCATTGCCCTATACCCACCTAATCTACACATCCCTGAACACTACAGGCAATTTAGCGTGGCCAATCCACCCACCCTGCACATCTTTGGACTGTGGGAGGAAACCAGAACACCCAGAGGGAGCCCACGCAGACACCAGGGAGAATGTCTGTGTGGAGTTTGCACAGTCGCCCAAGGGTAGAATCGAACCCGGGTCCCTGGCGCTGTGAGACAGCAGTGCTAACCACTGAGCCACCGTGTTAACGGAGACCCTTCCATCACAATTGCTTTGTGGTTTATCAGGGCCACACAGTCGGTTTTAATGTGGTTTGACTTTTTTTTGCCAGAATAACTATTGTGCAGTGTTTCTTTTTTTCTGGCTGTTGAAATAACTCCAGAGGCCAGTATCCCATCACTAAGTCACATTTTATTTACATGTGGAGAGTTCTTGACACTGATTCAGCTCCTTCTGAACTAGCTTTCAGAATGAACAGAACCTCTTACACTCCTGTTTATATCTGTCAGCCAGGGCCCCCTGATTGGACCAGATTAACAGCCCCAATCAGGGAACTCATACTCTACAAGGTTCACCTGGCTGACTCCATTACAATCACCACAGCTGTAACCTTTAAAATCCTATTTACTCCAAGAAGCAGATGTTGGCTTGGAGGAGTACCTGACTCCACAAGATCATCATCACTGGTACTCAACTATAATGATTTGAAACTGATTTGTGGATCCGAGAGAGACTGTTGGCTGGATTTTCTGATACTATATAAGAATATGATATATTCTTTCTTCACAGCTGTGAAAACATGAGCAGGTCGAGTGGCAGTCAGGAATTTCCAGATGGGAAACCTGAAAGGAAGGGCATCTTGCAAACCTTGCTGAAATTAAGAGCAAGTCATTTTACATTGCAGATGTAAGCGGCAACTTAATCGAGCTGGTGTAGTGCTATAAATTACTTACCTCATTCTTACCTCTTTACTTTCTGGGTTCCCCAATGCTTAGGAAACATTAGCTCTCAGGGTGATAAATAAAAACAAAACAGAGCCATGCAGATCATCAAAACATTTAACTGATCAAGCCCATATGGTGTCCAAAAGCATCATCATTACAACGACATCACGTTTCTTTCTCCTGTACAAAGTTAAGCTTTCCTGACATTTGGTGCCAAATTAAAACAGAACCACATATCACTGTAATAAGTCTTACCTTCATTTGATTTTCAACTTCCTCCATTTCTCTCTTCTCCATAAGCTTGTAAATGGGTACGAGCTCATTCATACCTTGGAATACAGGCATGGTACTGACTTCGTTCTTCAGATAAAGTGTCAAATCAAGGGCTTTGTCAAGAGGCAGCTTTCCTATACTAATTGACAGAAAAGCTAGTCAGTTATGGTGTTGTGGTAGACATTTCTACGAAGTTTAAGTCAAAGTACAATTATCTAAACAATTATTTATTAGATTTGATAGACAACTCTATTATTCCAGTACATGAGACAACAAATACTAGGGACACAATAACAGTGTAGTATTATTGAACTTCAAGAGTCAGTCAAACAAGAATAACTTTTTAAATAATGCTAGCCCTACACCAAGTTTATATCGCTCTTCATCAATCAAATTTCCACTATTTACAGTATTTTGCCTTTTGTTAATTCATTAAATTAACTTGGTATCTTTTTGGTTGCTTTCACTCAGCATCATACTACACAATATTTATCTACTGAGCCACTAGGGAATAATTCACAATGTATTTGTCCAATAATCTAGAGTTCCAGGTTATAGGATTGCTATGTTGAACATAATGGAGTATAATTATCATTCAGTGTGTTACACACAACACAGCCAAGGATTCAATCCTTGGTATCTGCTGGTGAAGCAGTCTGTTTATGCACCTTGCCTTTATATTCCCACGCTAAATATGGAATAAATCAACCTGTGGACCATGTTTGAAAATGAGTGCAATGACCACTGCAGCAAACAATCCACCAATGAGTGCAGGTACAGAATGGCTACTTCGGTGATGTACCACAAAACCTCGTTATCTCAACACAAGTCACCATCAGCGAGAGAAAAAGAAGGGGCTTCATGAAACAAATATACAAAAGCATCCCTAAAACATATTCAGATATATTATTAAAATTCGTAGAAATTATACAACAGAAACCGGCCACAGGGCCCCAAAAATTAGTGTTTGTGCTCCACATTAGCAGTAATCCCAATCGTACCCAACTTTAACCTATTTTTCTTCACCACCTACCTAACAGAGAGACCATTTTAATTGCACATAATATTGGAAATTTTCACTGTGACATTAGCGTTATGAACCAGGATGTTTCCATCGAAATGCAACAAAAGCTTCTCTTGTGTATCTCCAATCTAAGCAATGGAGAAGAGTTGAAAACCAATTATATTCTTTACCTCACAAGCTGGAAGGCATTGTTAATCAGGCTGGCTCGGTCGTTGCTACTGAGGACAGTGTGACGTTCTCTCAGTAATTTGATTAATGCATCCCATCCATCATTCTCATAATGAACAATGTAATAGCCATTCATATCCACATTGAACTTTATCCAATTCACTTCCTCCAAAAGAGTGATAATATCTGAGTGGAGGAGAAATCAAATCAAAACCTTCCCACAGAACAAGTCAGCTAACACAACGAGCCAGAGGCATATTTAAAGAAACACCATCACTTTTGTAATCCTCTATAGATCACAGCACAGAACAAACTTTTGCCCTTATGTGTAGAATGTACTTACTTTTCTGAAAGCAGCAGGCTACAGCCAGGTAGTTTAACACTTTAAACCATCACCGAATTAACAAAGACACCTGATGACAAACTATTACAAATACTACTCAACAGGGGCAAAGAACACAGCTTTTCTTTTATTTTAGAGAGCCTAGCTCTGTTTTAAACAAAAACCTGTTCAGATATGTATGACACACAGTCAGGGAGGTTGGGACTTTCGCCCAGAAGTAGGGACCCTACCACTGCACCAGAAGACCCTCAGAATCTAGCTTTCTTTTTTAATTTTGTAATCAATCGGTTTTGAGATGTTATTAAACACCTCTGGAGCAAATGGGACTGGAACCCAAGCTTGCCAGCTCATTGGCAGAGTCCCTATTAATACCTGACAAGACCCTCTGAACACAGCTTTTTTTATATAAACTCCAATCAAAACTTCCATTTCACTATTTAAACATCTAACAAATTACAAGCAATTCCCACCAGGAGACTGAATCCAGCTTTTTTTTTAATTTTATAAAGTCCATATTTATTTAGCAATGATAAGATTATAACTTTTGTTATTGAAATGATTCTGCAGTTCACGTTACTTTATACACAATACTCAAGAAACAAAAATATACTTCTGGGGAAATCAACCCCAGCTCTTTTGCATGACTTAGTTATTTTAATCAACTGGTTTGGACGCTGTGATACACTCCAGGACGGGTAAGACTTGAACCAGGATCGCTGGCTCTGAGTTAAAGTCACTGTGCCTCAAGACCCCTGTGCTAGAGATCAGAAAATGGTTCCCAAACAGGCCAGTATCTTGTGGCCCTCTTTAGGAGTGCATGCATGTGGCAAAAGTAAATCTATTCCACAATGATGCACTGTTATAGAACAGCTTACCAACGTCTGTTTTGCTCTACAAATGAAGAATGACCATTTGCCCAGGACATGTCTAGAAGCAGAACTTGAATACATGCTCAACAGTAAGTCAATGAGATGAGAGAAGAAATTGTAGTAAAAGATTGGGAAAAGAAATCTAAAAAAACAATTACAGCTTTTTTTGTTCTTAATACTTTCATGTCATTTTCAAAGCAAATGTTTAATGAGCACACCAGAACATTGGTTCATCACCTTACCAGCTCTCTGAGGTGATGTTAAATTGTCAAGAATCTCACATCACAGAAAAATATAACGAGTGTTATTTACCATTTTTTGTTCTCATCAAGTGCCTCTGGACAGTTTTGGAATGGCTTGTAATGTAAGTCAGTGGAATCTGCCACAGATAGCTATAAAAACAAAGACAATAAGATGATTTTTATTTCACAACATTAAGCATATACCAAGTTGAATTAGGTCTATCAATGGTGGGGAATAAAATACTTCTCCACTTTCTACCAGTAATGGTATCAAACACTTCCAAGTCAGCAGAAATAGTTACAGGATAAGTCCAATTCACTCAAACCACAAAAAATTCCTCAGTGAACACTGCGTCACATGTCTCAGAGGTCTAAGGTGCTGGATGCAGATTCTACATTCTCATGTATTTCTTGCTCTGAGTACATCAACACTAGGCCACCATGGTCTACTGCCTACTCAAATATAAAGCAGTACGTGGGGGTCCTGTGGTGTAGTGGTACTATCCCTACCGCTGGGCGCAAAGGTCCAGTTTCAAGTCCTAATTGCTCTGACATTGTGTCATAATATATCTTAACAGGTTCTTTTAAAGGAAAGAAGAATTTCTTCTCTCATTAAGATGATGTTTCACTGATCATGGTGATTGCCAACTTCCAACATCTGCACTGTGCACCCACTCGAATTTCAGATTGCAGAAACTAATTTCATATAGAACCACTAAAACCAATTATCCCATCGATCTGATTTTGATTTGAGCCCATTTGTCAAAAGATTGCACGGTAACCCACAACATCAGAAGCGCCCACCTAGATGAAATGTGCTGATGTTATCAGGGAGCATGAGAAAGATAAGTGATGAGAAGAACATAGTGCAAGTTTTAAATAAAAAACACATTTGCAACCAGGAACCCACAAGTCAGTGAAGGGTGACCTTTTGTTGCTGTTTTCCTTTAACTACGATGCTCTGAAAATGAAAACATTATCACAATTCATTTTTCACTTTTGCTGATTACAACATACCATAATCCACCACAGCCCCATATCCAATGTTACAGAGAACGGGGAACATTTGCCGTACACGAATATCCGAAAGGGATGGGATTACACCAAAGGAAGTATTCATCATGTATGGCATAATATTATTAAACTATTACCAATGTAGTCTGAACATCTCCAGACTGGCAAACTGACTGTAATTTTATGTGACATTCCAGAAGGTATTCACTAAGGGGTCATACACTGGTTAAAAATGCAAAATAAGGGCTCATGGAATTGGAAGTAATATACTGTCGTAGATGGGAGATTGGTTAATGAACGGGAAGTACAGGGTAAAGCTGAACAATGTTTCAGATTGGCAGGCTGTAACTAGTGGATTGCTACAAGGACCAGTTCTGGGGTCTCAGCTGTTCATAATCGATATCATGACTTGGAATAAGGAGATTGAAATGAAGACCAGTTTGAAAGAAATGGGGTTCGATTCATGGCTCACTGGCACCATTTCTGGGGAAGTGGGGCTTGCATCATTGGTACAGTCTGCATACGAACTGTGTTGCAGCCAGTATTCTGCATAACTGCAGACGAGGGAAGTGGACAGGAATTTAAACTAAATAAAGGGGGCAAGTGATCAAGTGAGGACAGATGTCGTGAATCAAAAAGTAGATACAATATGAGAAGGAAATAGTAACATAGGAAATGAGGGTCAGAGAAGCAAGAAGGGCAGAGTGAAAATATCTAGAAAGATAAAAAATTTAAATACTACAAGATAACAAAATGATAAAACTAAAAGGCTCTGTATCTGAATGTACACAGCATTCATAACAAAGCAAGTAAGTCAATAGTAGAGATTCAAGTAAACAAATATGATCTGACAGCCCCAAGGAGGTATAGCTTCAAAATATCAAGAACTGTGTCCTGAATATAGAGGGGAAAATGGCATTCAAAAAGAATAGGAAGCTAAGTAAAGTTGGAAGGATAGCACTGTTACTCAAGGATATTATCTGTGCAATAGTTAGAGATGACCTTGGTTAAGGAGATCAAGATGTAGAATTAGTTTAGGTGGAAATGTGGAATAGTAGAAAAAAAAGTCACAAGTGGGAGTGGTCTTCAGGTCTCCTAACAGTAACTGTAACATGCTACAAAATATACCAGAAGAAATGTTGGTGCTTGCAATAAAAGGGATGACAACAATCATGGGTGACTTTAATCTACACATAACCTGGAAAAATCAGACTGGCAGTAGTAGCTTGGATGAGGAGTTCATGCTTTTGAGAAAGTTTCTGAGAGCAACACATCCTGGCACCAACCAGACAATAGGTTATATTAGAGATAGTAGGAACTGCAGATGCTGGAGAATCCGAGACAACAAGGTGCAGGGCTGGATGAACACAGCAGGCCAAGCAGCATCATAGGAGCGTTATATTAGACTTGGTACTGTGTAACATGTCAAGATTAATGAATGATGTCAGAGTTAAGGCATCACTAGGTGGCAGTAACGATAATATGATTGAGTTTTATATCAGTTAGGTCCAAGACTAATATTTTAAATGTAAATAAGGCATGGAAGCAAGCTAACTGAAGTGAGCTGGCATATTAGGTTAGAGGATAGGTCAAGAGATACACAGTTTAAGGGGATTTTTCAGAATATTCGGAATAAGCATATGCCTACTTTAAAGAAAAAATTAATCCACGATTTACTAAAGAAGTTAGGGAAAGCATCAAACTTGAGGCACCATAATAACAGTGCAAAGTTGACAAAGAATCCCTACAGTGTGGAAACAGGCCCTTCGGCCCAACAAGTCCACCCAGACCCATCCCTCCTAACCCATCTAATCTACACATCCCTGAACAATATGGGCAATTTAGTATGGCCAATCCACCTAGCCTGCACATCTTTAGACTGTGGGAGGAAACCAGAGCACCCGGAGGAAACCCACGCAGACACGGGGAGAATGTGCAAACTCCACACAGACAGTCACCCAAAGGTGGAATCGAACCCAGGTCCCTGGTGCTGTGAGACAGCAGTGCTAACCAATGAGCCACTGTGCCGCCCTTTAGATCAGATATTTGGTCAGAACATAAAGAATGGCAGAGAATGACTGAAAGGTTAAACAAAAGGAAGAAATTATAAAATGAGAGGAAACTAACTAGGAATATGAAAAAGGATAGCAAGAGCTTCTAGAGGTTTTTAAAAAGGAAAACATTAAGTAGCGAGTTTTAGTCCTGCACAGAGTCTGAATGACAAGTAAATAGTAGATAATAAGGAAATAGGAGAAGAAATGAACAAATATTTTGCTCTGTCTTCTGTACGGAAGATCCAAAAAACATTCACCATGACCACTGGGGATACCTGAGCAGCTAATATACCCTTTCCTTCCTATCTGTCTCTACTACAAAACCAACCTCTCTCATGCCCCTCCCTGAGGTGCCAAGAGCCTGTGCCAAAAAACCCCTAGCTTACCAGAATACACCAGGGCTCCTTTCAGTTCCAGCAGTGCTCACTACTGTCACACTATCAGAACTGTAGGAGCTGCAAGCCAATTTCCAAGGGCTGGTACATGTTTCCCATGAGGGACAGAACATACGATTTAATTCAGCCTGCTTGCAGCACATTATGCAACTGACATAGGCTTCTATTGGGTTAGTCGCCTGGCCACCTACTTTGCACCCAGGCGGGCAAGACACACACACACACACATACACAAAACACACAGAAAACGTCAGCACATTTTAACTGCGTTGGTAGAATACTTTGGATGTTTGGCACATTGATTTGACATTTTAACATTTTACACTCTAAAGGAAATGCTCAAGTATTTAAAATGTTAATTAATGATTTCCTACTAATTGTGGCAGGATTAACACAATGGGAATATGTCGATTTACATTCCACATTCTTCGCATGACAAGTCCCACCATAGCTGTGCATATATTGTACTTATTTTTGTTTACATTGCTACCTCAATGTAATTTGGAACAATATCATTTCTGAACTGCAGTGTGTAAAGAATATATTTATCAAAGTAATATTCAGAGAGAACTTCATCACTACCTTAACTGGGAGTTAACACACATGATACTATTGAAATTAAGCTGGCAGACAGATAGAAGGTATACTGTCACAAGAAACTTCACCTACAGGCTTAATTTATTGAGCGTTCTCCCCAATCTCAAGAAGTTTCAGCTTTTCACAACCATCCTTGAGGCTTATCTTTTTGTTTACCAATGAACTGTTCAACAGTGAAATATCTTATGCTGTGCTCTCAGGTCCATTAGAAGCTGTGCCAAAATTTCTCACACTCGTCTTACAAAGGAGCTTTTTAAAAAAATGAGTGGAGAGAGGAAACCTTTATTCTATTTGGATGCAATTCAAACACAAGAGCAAGGAGATAAGGCAATGTGTCAGATGATATCACCGTGTAGCACTCTTGTTTTATTGTTTATTGCAGTTTTTAACATTTGTCAGGTAAGTTTCATTTTGGCATTATGAATATCAAATCTTATGCTGTACAGATCCAAAGAATTCTGGTTTTCACCATGTAGTCAGCGTGCTTTCTGTAAAAAAAAGTTTGTTTAAAAGATTAATGAGAGGGTAAGAGTGAGTAAATGTAAAAAATAATTAAAGTGCTACCTTGCAGATTCAGAATTTTCATCTTGGGAATTAGAACCTTTTTGATAAAGTTCCTGTCGTAATAATACTTGTCTTCCTTTCACTGTAACAGTAACCAGTGGGAATCCCTTCTGAAGTGTCCATGTGTTCATCATTTCCTTCACATCAAGAACATCTTTCATGAACCACTGCTACAAAAATGAAGATAAGGCCAATAAACTGAAATGTTTTGCACTGTATTCATTGTTACTAATAGTCATTTTATTTTGGTTTACTCCTAGTCATAAATTAAAGCACACAATAAATTAACAAAGTGTACTGCCATCTTTCATTTTTCCTCGGTACTGCACACTAAATGGCTGCATACATTCCATTTAATTCAAATTATTTAATGACTGTTTTATAGTCAATTTCTACATTATCATATCATTTATATGGGTGCATTCAAATCATTTGGAATTTGTAGTTGTTCTTTTTGTATACAATTTTACTGTTTTGTTGTTCCTTTTACTGTGTTTTTCAATAACATCAACCTATACTTTGAATAAAGTGCTCTCCAGCTAATAATATCATTTATATTTCTTCCTGCACTACCATTTTTTATGGGGAGGTGACGGCCTAGTGGTAATAAAACTGGACTGTTAATCCAGAAAGCCAGGTAATGTTCTGGGGAACTTGGTCTGAAACCCACCACAGCAGATGGCAGAATTTGAATTTAATAAAAATCTGGAATTAAGAGTCCACAAATCCATTGTCAATGGTCAGAAAAACCCATCTGGTTCACTAATGTCCTTTACGGAAGAAAACTGCCATCCTTACCTGATCTGGTCTACATGTGACTCCAGACCCACAGCAATGTGGTTGACTCTTAACAGCCCTCTGGGCAATTAGGGATGGGCAATAAATGCTGGCCTAGCCAGCAACGCTCCTCATCCCATGAATGAATAAGAAAACACTATTGCAGAGCATACCAGGTTTCAATTGTGTAGTAGTTGTGATTGGAATGGATACATTTCCAGAATAAATATTCTGTGATACATCCAAGAGTAATTGTGAAAACAGTGTTTGATTAAATGCTCTAAAAATATGCCAATAAGCTGATCTTCAATTGTTAGCAAGGCATTTCTTATCAATCACATTACGCAGTCAATGGTAAGGAAGCTTTTTTATCATCGAGCATCACAAACATCAGGGTGTCCTGCATTAATATGAGAATTTATAAATTACAAATTTGATTATATATTTCTGTAATATACTAAACTGTTCTAAGGCTTGAGAAATTGAGACAACCCCACGTGATTTTAATTTACATGAAACAATAATACAAAGTTGGTACTCACAATTAATGAAAATTAACCAGAAACCAGTGAAGAGGTATTTCCTTGTTGTATATTTATTCAATGGTAAAGGTAAAACTGTATAATTATGTGTGTCGGTAGGTTGGCAACTCAGAACAATGTGAAATATTCTCTAAGAAACTGGAAAACCTAATTGATTGGAATTCTTAAAAGGGTTGATATTCAGGTACAAAAAAAAATTGATTAATAGCACACATCAGGAATTATACAGAACACTTTTATAAATAATAATTCAAACAATATTTCAAATATATTTTGTCAAATATAAAAATCAGACTTTTCAGCAATTACATTTCAAACTTCGACTCATTACCTCCTAAATGAAAATCATCTAAAAAGTAACAGATTGAATTTTTAAAAAGATTGTTATCTTACTGAACCAGGAGGTAGCTCTGACTTTCCTAAGCAAAACTGTTGCTCACTTAGTCTGCTTCCATGTGTATCATCTGATGGACAAATCTAGAAAAAGAATTAACAGAATTTACTTTTGGTCATTTGCTTAAATGTGGAGTTATTGTAATGATAACAAAATTAAATAAGCTTAACTATAAAATTACCGTCATGGGTAAGTTCCAGTAAAGTGGCAAGAATCTGCTGCCTCTATCCTAATTTGTCATGTTTTTACCCATTCCTGTGTCATTTGCCTGCATGGTTTTCAAATCCACCAACAGCCTGATTTCAAAATTCTCAACATTGTGTTTAAAAATCTCCATGCCTTTGTCCTTCTTGACATCTGTCACCTCCTGCACCCTACAACCTTCTAAAAATCCAATGCTCCACAAACTCTGGTAACTTGCACACGTCCCAGTTGCTTTGCAAGCACCATTGGTAGCTATGCCTTTCACAATCGAGGCCCTAAGCTGCAGTTTCCCTCTTTTGCATTACTGCTTACAAACTCTGATCAAGCTTTTAGTTACCTGCCTTATAGCTCCTCCTTCTATAGAACAAGTACAATCTCTCTTCTGTGAACTCCATTTAATTTAATCTCCTGACTGATAGTTGTGCAAAAATACTCACTGATTTTGATCATCAGATAATTATGTAATCCCTGTTTGAAAAAGTTAACCAACATGACCTCAATGGATTTTACCTAACACCCGTTCCAATAAACCAGCAAAAAAAAAGTTTCTTCCAAACTCTGATTTCATTCAAGGCTAGTTAACTTTCAACTGGCGTTCTTTAATTCTGGTGTTCATACTCCTACACAGCACTGCATTGCAACTGAAAGATCTTTCGATACACAATAGGATTCATACTGTCTAAAGTTAACATTGTAATTCATAGCAGAAACTCTGGGGTGCATTGAAGAGGGGATTCCCAATCTGGTATGACCATAACTGAGTCATGGTGCACTATAAGAAGTGGCAGGCACAGGAAGGGTGGACAAACAGCTAGCACTCCATTAATGCCATGTTGCCATAAGTTATCCACCTCGTTCCTCTTCCATGTTAGCCCCATCAAATACAGCCCTTTGATCCAAGTCAATTTAACAAATCTTTAAAAGGAAACAGTGATTAGTAAAAATGAATCGACTTAAAATAACTTGCTGGGGAACTTTGTGGTGTAGTGGATTAGAATGTAAATGTTCCAGCTCCAGGATCCAAATTTCAAATTACCAAGAGTGGTCAAATCATCATGTCTCTTTTTTATCCCCTGTGTAAAATGAGCCTGGTACACAGAAAACTGCTCATTATTCATTGCAAACCAAGGCCAAATCAATAATCTGACTCAGAGATGTCATGCACAAAACTAATAAATGATATAGAAGAATTCCCACTAATTGGGTTGGGGGGGGGTGCTGGCTCAAGCCCACGTTTGCCCCTTCTGTAATTAAAATTCAGGTACTTTCTTCAATAAATAAATTTTACTCTACATCTGGCTGTGGGTTTTCCTGATGTAAGGAAACTCAATCCTACTTTCTACCAGGAACGTAACCTTTCTTTCATTATCTTAGTCTCAGTCATATAGTCTTAGACTCATAGCATTGTACAGCATGGAAACAGACCCTTTGGTCCAACTCGTCCATGCTGACCAGATATCGTAAATTAATCTAGTCACATTTGCCAGCATTTGGCCCATATCCCTCTAAACTATTCTTATTCATATACTCATCCAGAGTTAAATGTTGTTATTGTACCAACTTCCACCATTTCCTCTGGTAGCTCATTCCAGACATGCACCGCCTTCTGCAGAAAAAAGTTGCCCCTTAGGTCCCATTTAAATCTTTCTCCTCTCACCTTAAACCTATATCCTCTAGTTTTGGGCTCGCCTAACCCAGGGAAAAGACCTTGGCTATTCAGTCTATCCATGCCCCTCATGATTTTATAAACCTCTATAAGGTCACCCCTCAGCCTCCAACGCTCTGGGGAAAATAGCTCCAGTCTATTCAGACTGTCCCTACAGCTCAAAGCCTCCAATCCTGGCAACATCCTTGTAAATCTTTTCTGAATCCTTTCAAGTTTCTCCTTCCTATAGCAGGGAGACCAGAATTGCATGCAGTACTCCAAAAGTGGCCTAACCAAAGTTCTGTACAGCTGCATCATGACTCACAACTCTTACACTCAACGCACTGACCAATAAAGGCAAGTTTACCAAAAACCTTCTTCACTATTCAACCTACCTGTGACTGCATGTTCAAGGAACTATGAATCTGCACTCCAAGATTTCTTTGTTCAGCAACACTGCCCAGGATCTTACTATTTGGTGTAAGGTCCTGCCCTGATTTGCCTTTTCAAAATGCAGCACCTCACATTTATCTAAATTAAACTCCATCTGCCACTCCTCACCCCATTGGACCATCTGATCAAGATCCCGTTGTACTCTGAGGTAACCTTCTTCGCTGTCCACTACGCCTCCAATTTTGGTATCATCTGGAAACTTACTAACCATACCTCCCATGTCCACATCAAAATCATTTATATAAATGATGAAAAGCAGCAGACCCAACACCGATCCTTGTGGCACACCACTGGCGGCAGGCCTCCAGTCTGAAAAGCAACCCTCCACCACCACCCTCTGTCTTCTACCTTCAAGCCAGTTCTGTATCTAAATGGCTAGTTCTCCCTGTATTTCAGGTGATCTAACCTTGCTAACCAGGCTACCATGAGCAACCTTGTCAAATGCCTTACAGAAGTCCACACAGATCATGTACACTTCTCTGCCCTCATCAATCCTCTTTGTTACTTCTTCAAAAAAACCCAATCAAGTTAGTGAGACGTGATATCCCAGGCATAAAGCCATGTTGACTGTCCCTAATACATGTAGGCATCCTGAGAGACAGGATTTACCACCGACATCAGGCTCACTGGTCTATAGTTGTCTTTTCCTTACCACCTTTCTTAAGTAGTGGCACTACATTAGGCAACCTCCAGTCTTCCAGCACCTTAGCTGTGACTACCGATGTTACAAATAACTCAGTAAGGAGCCCAGCAATCTCTTCCCTCACTACCATGAGTTCTGGGATACACCTGATCAGCTCCTTGGGATTTATCCACCTTTATGCCTTTTAAGACATCCAGCACCTCCTCCTCTGTAATATGACATCTTGAAAAACGTCTGCTATTTATTTACCCACGTTCTTCATCTTCCATATTATTCTCCACAGTAAACACTGACGCAAAATACTTGTTTAGTATCTCCCCAATCTCCTGCAGTTCCACACATAGGCAGCCTTGCTGATCTTAAAAGGGGCCCTATTCTCTCCCTAGTTACTCTTCTTTCCTTAATGTATTTGTAGCATCCCTTTGGATTCTTCTTAACCCTATTTGCCAAAGCTATCTCATGTCTCCTTTTTGCCCGCCTGATTTCCCTCTTTAGTCTATTCCTATTGCCTTTATATTCTTCTACATATTCACTCGATCCCTGCTGTCTATACGTGACATATGCTTCCTTCTTATTCTTGACCGAAACCTCAATTTCTCTAGTCATCCAGCATTCCCTACACCTACCAGCCTTGCCCTTCGCCCTAACAGGAACATATTGTCTCTGGATTTTTGTTATCTCATTTTTGAAGGCTTCCCATTTTCCAGTCGTCCCTTTGCCTGCAAACATCTGACACCCCCTCCCCCAATCAACATTTGAAAGTTCTTAAATGATGCCGTCAAAAACAATAAAGTGAACTTAAAAAAACTTGCATACAGATTGCCAGCACTTCAAGTTTTCCCTGGTAATCACCCTATCCAGAAGATTCAAGCAGAGAGTGTGTGCTTCCTCAGGAGGAGAAAAAAACAGAAGGCTGGTGTGAGCCTCAATTCAATTATGGTCCACTCTGGTTCTATGCAACTAATAGCACCAGTACTGACAGACACCTGGCTTCAAACCTTCAAGTGAAATAACAGTGACCAGTGTACATAATAATGTAGAAAAGACACATCAAACATGATTATATTTTATGTATTACAATATATTTGGTAATTAGTACCAGATTATCACTCCATTACTATTAAACTATTTAGCATCCTTGACCAAAGATGAGAAGTGACATATAGGAATGCTCATGAAGACCCCTCAATAATTTTACTCAAAGAGTGCAAAGAAGGAGAATAACATTAAACAATTGACATGATTCACTCTATACTAACAAAGGCGATTTGACAATTGGAACTCTTGAGCTTACATTAGTCAGACTGTTCCACAAGTCCTCATTTTTTGCATTTCCATAACTATGGCAACGTAGGTAACGAATAATGCCAGTTTTAAAAACATCTTCTGTCAGATAGTCCATCAGCATGTTCAGAATGCAAGCTCCCTGCAATTCAAACCAGTGAAACATCATAACCTTAATTTTGTACATTACAACATCAGTTCATCATCAAAAACAGTGCAGGTTGATCATTTAATCTTACAAGCTACATTTACTGCAAATGAATTTATATGTAGCTCTGGCACGCGGAAAGCATCATCAAGTCCTACTATTTCCTGGTCCCTCATGTGAATTACCAAGTTTAATAATTCCAGCACACATTGAAGTTTGCAAATAAGCTCAAGAAGATTTATTTCAAAAATCATAAAATAAACTGTAACAAACTTAATAAAAACTTTTCATTACACAAATTGAGACGAGTACAGTTTTAATCAATACTGCCACCCAAAATGTAATTCTGACAGAAAGCAATAGTTTAATTTGAACTTGTGTACATTGATGGCAGGTATTTATGTGGTTATAATCATAACCTGTTGTGCCTGAAAAGATAAGAGAACAGAACGTACTGGTCATATTCACACTCTCAGATCATTTCCTTTATCTCAACCTGCTACTTCCCTGATAATTGCTAACTAATGCCACAAGGTCACTCCAACAGTATCTATTCTCACTTTTGTTAATAATCTCTTGTGCAGAACCTTATCAAATATCTTCCGAAAATATCTATGAACAACATCCGTAGGTCCTACCTTAACCACCATACAAACACATGGACATGTGAATAAAGGTAAAGTTGCCGTAGTCCTAACATACCATATAGCTGCTCTCTCATTAGAAAAAGACAACTGCTGGTCACGATGCCTCAGGCAAGGGGAAAGGTTGAGAAGACAAACTCAGCTGGTGTGGGAGTTGGCGTCAATCTGCATTTCAAACCAGTCATCCAACCAACTGAGCTAACTGACCCCCAAATGTAGCTAGTATTTGCTGGTAAACAAGATTGGAATAAGGAGCGGGAGTAGGCCATTTGACCTCTCAAACCTGTTCCGCCATTTAATAAGATCATGGCTGATGATTGTAGCTCAAATCCATATACTCATGTTTCTCTGATAATCATTCATCCAAATACTTACCAAGGATCTATCCAACTCTGCCTTAAAAAATATTCCAAGACTCAACTTTCATCCATCTTTTAGGAAGAGAGTTCCAAAGGCTCACAACCTTCTGTGGGCAAAACTTGTGCTTCATCTCTGATTGGAACGGCTGACCCTTTTTTCAGACAGTGACCCTAGTATGGGATTCTCCCGCAACAGGAAACAGCCTCTCCACGTTACACTGTCAAGATCACTCAGGATCTTGCACATTTCAATTAAGTAATCTCAAACTCTTCTAAACTCAATGGATACAAGACCAGTGTGTTCAAACTTTCCCCATAGTACAACCCAGAAATATTTATTCACCCAGAAAGTGGTGAGCCTGTGGAATTCTCTTTCACAGAAAACATTTGAGGCCAAAACAATGAGTGTTTTCCAAGGAGTCAGATATAGTTCTTGAATATAAAAGGTATGGGGTGACAGCAAGAACAGGGTACTGAGTTGGATGTGCAGCTATGATCCTATTGAAAGGTGGAAGAGGCTCAAAGAGAATGGTCTACTCATGTTCCTAGCTTTTTATGTTTCTCTCCCATCTATGACCAGTATTAGTCCGGTAAACCTCCTCTATATTGCCAGCAACACATGTACATTCTCCCTTAAATTTAGCAATCTAATTTGTAAATAATGCTCTAGATGTGGTCTCACCAACAATGTTCTCTCTAGGCTATGTGACTACATGCACGCGGACCCTCTCTAAAGGTTCTACACATGGCAAATGGCATTAACACACCAACTAGGCACTGACTTCCAGTTCATCAGAGACCCGCACTGCCAGAAAGGTGATTAATGGGAATGCTGTTCACTAATGCTCTGCATAACTGAAGCATAACCTCCCTACTTTTGTATTCAATTACTCGCACAAAAACATGTTAACACTCTATTAACTTTCCTAATTTCTTGCAAGTTTTGGAATTCATACACAAGTATATCATGTTGCTTTGCATCTCAGAGATCTCACCACTTAGATAATATTTCTTTTTTATTCTTCTTGCCAAAATAAACAATTTCGTATCCTCCCACATTATGCTCCATTTTGCCACACCTTTGCCCACTTACTGAACCGATCTATAGCTTTGTGTAGGCTCCTTATATCCTCTTCATAGTTGCCTACCTATATTAGTGTCATCAACAAAACTGACAATCATATACTTTGATCATTCACAGAATCATAGAATCCCTAGAGTGTGGAAGCAGGCCATTTGGCCCATCAAGTCCACACTGACCCTCTGAAGAGAATCCCACCCGTGTAACCCTGCATTTCCTATGGCTAACTCACCTAGCCTGCACATCTTTGGACTGTGGGAGGAAACCGGAGCACCCAGAGGGAACCAAGACAAACATGGGGAGAATGTGCAAACTCCACACAGACAGTCACCTGAGGGTGGAATTGAACCTGGGTCCCTGGCACCGTGAGGCAGCAGTGCTAACCACTGAGCCACTGTGCTTCCCCAGGTAAATAGCTTCATCCAAGCTATTTTTATAAAAACAGTTGAGGTGCCAGCACTAATTCCTGCGGCATTCTATCTGTTACATCACACCAACCAGAAAAATGATCCATTTATACCCCTCTCCTTCCTGCTGGCCAGCCAATCTTCTTTTAATGCCAATATGCAATGCCCTACATGTAATACCTTTTTCTATGCCTCCTTATCAAATGCCTTCTGGATATCAAAGGACAGTACATCAAATCAGTTTCCTCTCAGCCGTAGCACAATTTCTTCAAGGAACTCCATTTGTCTGACTAAACATGATTTCCCTTTCTCAAAATTACGTTCTCTGCCGGACTGCCTTCAACTTATCGAAGTGTTCTGCTTTAGCTTCTTTAATAAAACCTTTACCAGTTTTCCTATGACAAATGTTAAACTGACTAGCCCATAGTTTTCTGCTTCCTGTGTTTTTTATATTTGTTTGTGGTATGTTGATATTGTTGGATAATCCAGAATTTATAACCCATTCCTAACTGCCTAAAGCACAGTTAAGCATCAGCCGCAGTGCTGTGGGTCTGAAGTCACATGTAGGGTAAGGACTTCCTTCCTTGAAAGACATTAGTGAACCTGATGCATTTTTTTTTTAAAACAACAATTGACAATGGTTACACGATCACCATTATGCCAGCTTTTCCTTTCAAATTACAAATTATTATTTGAATTCAATTTTCACCGTCTATCATGGTGGGATTTGAAAATGTCACCAGAACATTAGCCTGTGCCTCTGGATTTCTAGCCCAGTGACAATATCACTAAACTATCTCCCTTTTTGAATAATTTGTTAATCTGATCTAATGGTATTTTCCCCAAATCTAGGGAGTTTTGGAAAATTAAAACCAATGGATTAACTATCTCACTAGCCATTTCTTTGAAGACCCTAGGATGAAATCCATCTGGACCCACTAATTGTCAGCCCACAGCTCCAAATATTTACTCAATACCACTTCACTCGTAATTGTAATTTTCCTGAATTTCTCCCTCCCTTCCAAAACTCTCTCCTTTCCTCCCCAACTCCATTTATCATCCAACTTATTCTATTATAAGTCACACTAAGTTGGCCAGTTTTGTATGCTCCCAGCACAGAAGTCCCCATTATTTTCTCTGTTAGCATGTATGGAATCTACTAAGTCCCTCCCCAGTGGCTACTCAAAACCACATAAATCCTTTAGCAATTAATTCATTTTCAAATAAATAAGATAGATTACTAATAAGTGGAACATCCTTTTACTAGATTATATAAAATCAAGTTATAAGCTACTAAATTACATTTTTCTGCTTCTCCCCTCAAAAAGAAACTACAGGTTAATTACATATCATACCTTCTCATAGGAGACATTATCAAACATTTCTTGGATCTGTGCAGGGTTTTCCACTGGAGTTGATACTGGGTGGGAGGAATTGAAGGAATCTGCTTCCATTGCACTGAAACATCTATCCAAGAAGAATTCTCTCTGCAAGAAACAAAGATTTAGACGCGAATTCTGGAATTTCACAGTCACATTTTACACATACACTTTTGCCATGACGTAACAAATTGTAATTAGTCTGTTATTTAAAAAAGCTAAACAAATGTCTCACAACCATTCTTTAACAGTCGGTGCCACAGAACTAGAACAGATAAATGTTTGGATACTATGCTACTTAGAATCCTCTATCTTAAGCACTGAGCAGAACCATTGACATTTCTTGACTGGTAGAAGTAAAGTCAGTGGACAAAGCTGTCTGTGGTTGGTCTTCAGTGTTTCCAAATGCCCATTTTCAGCATCAATGGCCGAGGTATGAAGAAGGACAAATATTCATTCTCATGCTATAAAAATAGCAAAGAATTGCCCCTGACAAAAATGTAGAAACTTTGTCCATTTTAACTGATAAAATGTTGCATTTTTTCATATATACATACATAGATATCGCCTCCATGTTTTAGATGCCCCAGACACTGGAAACAAACTGTCAGTTAAACCCCAATAGGTCTTTAGTGGCACGTTCACTGGGAAATAGCTACTTCATTAGATATTCATTACTTATTTCAAAATTGCTACAGGACACGAGGACAGCTTAATACTGAAATGTTAAATTTTGCAGGTTAACACCGTGGAATAGAATAAAATTTAACCTTTCACAAGCTTTATTTTAATAAAGATTGTTTATTAAAATTGTTTGAAGGAAAAAAAAAGTGTAAAAGCTGAAGAAAAACGCTCATCAATTCAACTGCTTGATGGTATTCAAGCACCTTGGACGCTAGGAACACTGAACATAATCAGAATATACATTCCACTGCGGAGGAAACCCGGAAGTGAGGCAATCCATCGCAACAGACCCCAGAGTTTAAAAACCAGGCGGGAAAACACACTGACGCTTCATCAGAGGCTGCGCTGAGAATGTTACCAAGCACGGTAACGAAATGTTTGTGGAACAACAAACCAGCTCGGCAAGCCAACCAACCTCAATACCCAGCTACAGATCTACTCCAAAACCTTAGACATTTGAGAATGTCAGGGTCAAAATACAAGTCATGTTTTTGAAAGAGACCTAGCTTTTATATAACAGTCTGAATCTTTTGGTTTTATTGGCTAAGAATGAGTTGTGTAGAGTTTTTTGAGGGATTCTTGCCGCAAAGTCTTGCGAGATTTCTCACTACATCTATGACAACCATCATGTTTAATTCTAACCTCAGCTCAAGACATACCAATCCTGAAACAATCTGCCTCTCATCAGGTATCAACTGGTATGCCTAGTGCCTGCACTGTCTTTAAAAGCCCACTGTGCACTTGGACAAGCGCCAGCCTGGACCTGCCCTGCATGGTATGTGAGTTTTGCCCTGGGTATAGCAGACAGCGGGGAAATGGTGCCCCACTTTGTGGGCAAAGACCTGGAAGTCCTGCTGTACAGGCTGTTGCAGATGGGGGGCACCGTCTTCTGGCAGGGCCGACAGTGGATGTCACAGCGCCAGACTGTGCCAGGCTGGTCCACCCGAGTCAGTGCAGTCTCAGCCATCTAGAGGAATGAACAGCAATGTAAGAAGAAGGTCAATGACCTTCTCCACTCTGCTGACAAGCACCACCAGTTGCTCTCTACCAATCTCCGTAATGGTTGCAACATCTTCCCTGACTCTGTCACCCACATCAGTCCCCGACACCATTATGCATGCTCTCTGTCCTGTCTACTCACTTGCTTGGGACAGCTCCCCAACAGCATCAGGAGTAACAGCTGCCATACCCACTTTAATCTCCCCTAATACATTACCTCTCTCTCATTCCAGGAGGGGGTAAAGAAGCCACAATACAGCAGAAAGAGTCAAGATGGGTGGTGTGCCGCCCTAATGAGGAGAGGACCCTGACTCTTACTGCCTAGAGTGCCGTTCCAAGTTTCTGAACTGGTACGAGGGGCTGGCCTTGCATTACGGTGCTTGGACTACCTGAGCGCAAGCTATCGGCTTTGATGTGATGGAGGACGGCTGAAAACCATAACAAACTTCCTCTTTTTTGTCTAAGTGGCAAGGCAAAGATGCCATGAACATCTAAATAGGCTCAGCGAGAGTGAGCTAGGACAAGTAAACTGGCTGGAGATGCCTCTGGGCCCAGTCCTTGAGCTGTTTATGTATCCTTGAGCACAGAAAGTATCCTTGCTGCAGCATTACAATGATAGCTGCCAGTGCAACCCAAGGTTCAGCACTGAAGTTCAGAGGTGTACTGTAATTGGATTGGAGATGTGCAATGAAGGATCTTGTGTCTGGCATATGTTAGATGCCAATGCCTGTGGACATGGCTTCCATAGCCCACATAGTATGCCCCAAGATGTTAGTGCCCAGCATCCAACATGAAGGCTGTTCACAGCCAGCAGTGAGCCAAAGCCAGTGAAGGTACGATAGACTTCCAAGTCAGGATGGTGAGGAGCTTACAGGGGAATTTAATGCCAGTGGTCATGGGATTGGAAGATGCTGTTGAAGGACCCTTGGTGAGTTTCTGCAGTGCACCTTATAGATGGTGCACAGTGCTGCTACTGAGCATTGGTGGTGGAAGGAGTGATTGTTTAGAGTCAGAGTTAGACAGCATGGCAACAGACCGTTCAGTCCAACTCGTCCATGCTGACCAGCTATCCTAAACCAATTTAACTCACAATTGCTAGTATTTGGCCCATATCCCTCTAAACCCTTCTTATTCATATACCCATCCAGATACTTTTTAAATGTTGTAATTGTACCAGCCTCCACTACCTCCTGTGGTAGCTTGTTCTGCACACACACCATTCCCTGCGTGAAAAAGTTGCCCCTTAGGTCCCTTTTATATCTTGCCCCTCTCACCTTAACCCTATGCCTCCTGGTTTTGGGCTGCCTTATCTCCTGGGATAAAGACCTTGACTATTCACCCTATCCATGCCCCACATGATTTTTACCCTCTATAAGGTCACCCCTCACTCTCCGACGCTCCAGGGAAAAAAGCCCCAGCCTACTCAGCCTCTTCCCTGAAGCTGAAACCCTCTAACCCTGGCAACATCCTCGTAACTCTTTTCTGAACTGTTTCAAGTTTAACAACATTTTTCCTGTAGCAGGGATACCAGAATTGTATGCAGTATTCTAAAATCTAGAGGGCTGCATTGTCCAGGATTGTCTCAGATTCTCAAGTCTTACTGGAGCGGCAGCCCTTCAGGCAACTGGGGCGTATTCCATCACACTTGCAACTTGTACCTCATAGGTAGAGGGCAGGCTGATTGGCCAGAAACTGTGTAGTCCAGCAGCATCAGGCATAATAAATGTTCACTGCTGGAAGCACAGAAGGCAAGTGCCATGGTTTCTGGAGCACAGGCAACTCCAAGGACTTTGGACCGGCCTGCCCGGCAGACTACAGTGAGGGGGATATGTTTGACTCTGTGGAGGAGGCAGGGAGGGCGGATGCTGGCAACTTAGAGATCAAGAGAAGGGATGAAAGAGGGAGTGCAATCTTCAGTAGGCATATGGGTGCCCTTCTTGTCCAAAAAATGACCCCTCCAAAGGATGTACACCAACTTCAATCCTGCTGGCAGATAATGCAGTGAAAAGTGCCCGCTACTGACCATTTTGTCAAATTTCTGCAACAATTTTACATTCAACTCGGGAATTGGACTGAGGTCCTTATATCATTGTTAACTGTCCAATTTAGGGCCTCACTAGGCCATACAAGTATGTTGCAAGATAAACATTCTTCCTGAGGTGGGTATAGAGGAACCAATTATTCCCTACCTCATATCTGAACAAGAAAGGATAGGCTGTACCCCCATAGACCCAGACCCAAAAAATCAGGCTAGTTTGTTGCATACTAAGGGTCTAACCAAAGTATCATGTAATCCAAAATTGCACAAACTAATTGAGGGAGAGAGGTCATAACAAGTTATCAAGGTGATGGTGTCAAAACAGGACAATAAGGAAGATTTTACAAATGCAGAAGTGATACATGTAGTGTGACATGAACCCAAGATCACGATTGAGGCCTTCTTCATGGGTACAAAACTTTGCTGTCAGTTTCTGCTCAGTAATTCTGTGTTGTTTTATGTCTTGAAGGCCAAGACACATGCAGCTCTTACACCGATTACGTTATTCCAGCCATTTGGTTTGTCTCCAGCACCACCTTATTTTTAATTTTTTGTAATTATCTCTCTGTCTCAATTACTTGGATCATAGGTCACCCCTTCACCTGCGAGTCAGCTGCTGACACTTTACTCACACCATCTGACACTTTTGATCACCTGGACGAACTTGTTAATCAGTCTGTTGACACTTCACACACCATTTGAACTATCTTTCAATCTCTCTGCTTATAAATTCTGTGTCTGTGTGCTTTGCTTCGTTTCACCTGATGAAGGAGCAGTGCTCCAAAAGCTTGTTATTTAAAATAAATCTGTGTGTCATGTGACTTCTGACCTTGTCCATCCCAGCACCTCCACATCATCACATGAATGGAATTTTTGAATCTGCTTCTCTCTGTTCAGTAGGGAGACAGCAACATCACCACCTTGACAGATAATATTTCTGTATCTGAATCAGTGCAGCATGGATATGACTTGTCTATTGTTTTATGATAATATTCTCAAGCTGCAGCAGCTGGAATTTATATTTTGGTTGGTCTTTTCCACAATATTAAATGTAAGACGCTTAATATGTGCAATTTCTTAATGGACAGAATTCACTACAATGTGACAATGATCTTTCTAAAAGATCTGGGCTCCTTAATTATCCTCAACGAAAGCTCATCTGTACTTACAACTTGAAGCTCTGGGTGTGTGATGTTAACCGAGATAATTTCCATGAACGTGGCAAATCCTTCATTCAGCCAAAGATCATTCCACCACTCCACGGTTACCAAATTTCCAAACCACTAAGAGAAATAAATTTCAGATGTCAGCAACCAGTTTATTCTTCTGCTGCCGATATAAATAATAATGAGTTTGTACACAGTATATAGTCTATAGCACAAACCAGCACAGCAAACTACTATTTCAAAATATTTTGTAAAGAAAAGCAGCATGGTTTCTTAACACACTGCCCATATCTAATGTGCCATAGCAATGAGGTCAATCATTGATTCACACTTCTAGAGTTTCAAATATGCCACACCTTGTCAAAGTTAGAACAGTTCTTTTGAGATTGAATGAGTCAAAAATTAGAAGCAAAAATTTCTCCTGAAGCATACATGAGCACCCTCAGTGGCTGATTAAGAGCTGCAATAGCACAGGTTGAGGGAATTGTTTTTTTTTTATCACAAATGTTAAGAAGGAAAAAGGGAAGGATAAATATGTTCCCGATTGCTGAACAAAATACTTACCATCCTGTTATTAAAATAACACCATTAGGAACTTCCAATTGTGCCTCTAAGACTTCCACAACCTCAATTCATTTCCTGAATCAAGCTGTGTTATATGACAGAACCCTGTCATAACGACACCAAGAAACTGCAGTCTAAGAGATACTGTTCCAAACAGAAACAGCAGTGAAGGTTCATAAAAGCCAACAGCAGGAACTGCAGGCTCTGTATTAACAGGTAATTGAGGAGCAGCAACATCCAAGGGAGGGAGGAGAAGCCTTCTACTAGGCACATTCATGCATATTGGACCATTACTGCAATTACCCTAGGCCCAGAATCCTGTATTAGATAGTCCTGCATAACAGTGTTAAGAAAGGTGATTATAAATGGGACAGAAGGCCTTGCTCCTCATGACTCCTTTTGTAGCACTCATTATGGGGAACAAAAAAGCAAAATGGAGCTGTTGGCCAGGAGGCTACAGCTATATCTCAAATAATTTTCCTGCCATTTCCATGTTCAACTGGAGTAGTGGAAAGACATTCAGCCTGATAAGTCTTTAACTTTCAATTAAATTTGCAAAGTTCTAAGCTACTGTTATTTGTTACCTGGTGAGCCAGTTCATGCGCTATGATCATGGTGATTCCAAGCTTGTCAGAGGCTGAAGAGGTCACAGCATTGTAAAGTAGTGCTGATTCCCTGTAGGTGGTCAGACCCCAGTTTTCCATTGCCCCAGACTGAAAGTCAGGGATAGCAGCCAAATCTGAAGACAAATCACCAACATTAAAGAAAAAGAACATCAGAAGTTGGCATTATTTGTGCCTGAATGTACAAGAAAGAGTAGAAAGCATATGTGAATGAACTGGAAACAATTTGATTAACTTTGAAAATATCTACATTGCATCCAGACTGCAATACCTCTTGACTGCAATTATCATAAGTATGTGTAATAAATATCTGACTATCATTCACTTAATGTCACTGGAGACGTATTTTTATTGCTTTTGATAATGTCCCAGATTTAATGGCGATGAAATTTTTAGCATTCGCCATCACTACTCCTCTGAAACTGACAGCAACTTCTGGAGCCTGCAAATGTGCAGATAAACAAGGAAATCCAGTAGCAGTCAGTGATTCTATTCTTCCCCATGAGACATATTGCAATCAAATAGAAAATCACTGCACTAAATGAGAACTTGCTCTTTAACACTATTACTTTAGCTATAAAACCCTTGAAATGTTACATCTTGTTGAATGAGCCATAACTGGAATTTTAACAATTGAGAATGACTTTGGACTTGAAAAACTAGTACAAATTTGCAGATTGTCAAATTTCTCAGTTAAGAAAGAGTATGACATAATTTTAACATTGTATATTTCTGAAAAAGGCACATTTTGTTGAAGTTTTTAATTCTGCTCTCATCAGAACATTTTGCAAGAATAGAAATCCAAGGCAAAAACCACCAGTTACACTGAATATGACAAGAGTGTTGATTGGTTAGCAAGTGGCCTCTGATTGGTGGGATGGTTACTATGGTAAAGCATTCATTAATGCTGATTGACAGTTAACAGCCAAGCTTTGTTTAAATTTTAAATTAGGCAGGTTGATTTTGATTAGTCAGGGCATTGCCCTATTAAAGTCAGAGCCAATGTCACGGGAATTGCTAGGTCTTTGTAGGCAACATCTTTTCAAAGTCAGCAGCAAAGCAACAGCAGTTGCTGTTTAGATCAACATCTGAGTGAATATTTATTCTGAGCAAACACTAAATCAAAACACAAAAATCATTAGTGTAGAAAGGAGAAAAGCAGTAAGTAATAAGCAGCCCAACATAATCCACCTACATTCTTCAATTCATAATATTTCTTCCCAGAGATACATTGTCAATTGCATCTTGAACTAAATTATACTGTTACCAATATTGCATGGAGTCATACATCATCATCCACCAAGTTGACACAAGATCTATGAAGAGCTACACAGAAAATAATAAAAGAAGCCTCTTTACAAAAAGTTACAATTTTTTAAACAAAAGTCAAATTTGAGGCATTGACTGTGCTTTTCTGTACACATAATTTTTGGAAGGTATGTTCAAGGTCAAGACCCATTTCTGCCAGGTTTCCAATTGTTATTGGTAGCAATCCAATTTAAATTTCTTCGCAATCACCTGACTGTAAAACATGATCACCTAAATATATTTAAACTGGGACCTTTGATATCAGCACTCCAAATTCTCTGAATTTATGCTTGCATTGCAACCTGCTACCTTAGAACATTTTAAGATAAATGTTATTGTTAAAATATTGTTAAAATGTTGCCATTGCTAGGAACAACTGAAACTTATACATAAAAAAATTGAGTCTGATGACTAAAAGACCATTAATTATTCATGTTAGGAAAAGAGACTTTTGCTGTATGTTTTCTTGCTTTCCTTATGGACAGAACTGCATTTACTAACAGCCAGAGACCCTTGGAGCCTGCCTAAAGAATATTTTTAGCTGCAATGACATAAGTGGTTTAGAGTGTCAAGGATTGATTGCCAATGGACTTTTCATTGCTTGGTCACTTTATGGAAGAGTCATAGTACTGAATGAAGGAAAGAAGATTGAGGAAGTTTTTAGGCCTGCCACCCTCACAAATATTCTCTGAAGGTACTACTATGAGCTCTGTGTGAGAAGTGTGCACATTATCGAACGGACCAGAAAGAGATGCACCACATGCCATATTGAGGCCTGAAATCAAAATTATCTATGTATTGAACTTTGTTTGGCTGTGAAGGCAACAATCATATTCCATTTTTACACCACTGACTGATGCAAGCAACCACAGTATGCAATATTTCTGATCCAGGTCCAGTTATTTGATAACTGATACACTTTCAGGAGAGCTGAGCATTCATTCGGTTTAGCACAAGAAGACACCAGCACAAGAGATAGTAAGAACTGCCGATATTGGAGTCAAAGATATCACAGTGTGGAGCTGTAGGAGTACAGCAGGCCAGGCAGCATCAGTTGATGTTTCGGGTCGGGATCCTTCTTCAGAAATGGCACATGAAGAAGGATCCCGGCCCGAAACGTCAACGCTCCTGCTCCTCTGATGCTGCCTGGCCTGCTGTGCTCCTCCAACTCCATACTTTGTTATCTTTATCTAAGACACCAGCACAAGCCCATTTTCACCAAAGTACATAATATAACTAACCTCTACAACCTCATCACCAATTGCATCTCCAGACAGAATATATAAGTATAAAGAAGGATTCTTTATATCACTGCTTGATTTGCTTGAAGTTAGAATGGTTCTCTTGACCTGAAGAATTCTGACCTCTCTCATCTCTGCAGCTTTCTTTTTCTATTCATTTGTGGGATGTGGGCATCACTGGCTGGCCAGCATTTCTTGCCCATCCCTAGTTGCCCTTGAGAAGGTGGTGGTGAGCTGCCTTCTTGAACCACTGCAGTGTACCTGCTGTGGGTTGACCCGCAATGCCATTAGGGAGGTAATTCCAGGATTTTGACCCGGCGACAGTGAAGGAATGGTGATATATTTCCAAGTCAGGGTGGTGAGTGGCTTGGAGGGGAACTTGGAGGTGGTGGTGTTTCCATATGTCTGCTGCCCTTGTCCTTCTTGATGGAAGTGGTTGTGGACTTGGAAGGTGCTGTCAGAGGATCTTTGGTGAATTTCTGCAGTGCACCTTAGACAGTACACACTGCTGAATATATTGATGGCTTGTGGGACATTTTTTTCTTGCACTTTTGCTCAACTCATTGTGACTTAGATTACTTTCACTACCTTGATAGATCAGAAGGCATTGTCTAATGTGATACTAATCTGCATATATACTGGTCGGTACAACCTTACATCCAAATCTCAATAAACGATGGAACTTGTAACAATCTAGTACTTTCGCAGTACAACACTGAGGTTATACTAAATGTTCAAATCATGGGCTGGAATACTTGGCCCTTTGACTCAGAGATTAGAGTGCTACGAACTGACTGAAAATTATCAACACAGAAGATTGTTCTCCCAGAGATATACTTTTTGCAGGATGGTTTAGAAATGTACACCAGTTAAGAGTTTTATGAACAGGGTAGTATGATAAAGATTTTGTAACAAGCTAATCTTTCTTCAAATGGACGCAAGGAACCTTAAAAGAAGTGGCTACCAAAAATCACCAAAGTTACATGTGGAATCAACTGTGATCAGCTAGATGAAGAAATCACATTATATTTATCTCAAGAAGAATCACAAAAGATATCTGAAACTCAGTGAGCCTCAGACTACACAATTAAATCTTCCAAAGCTGTGAAAAATCATGGCTTTTGTGATAATGGCAAGGAGTCAGGAGGATAATCTAGACGGTTTCTAGTCTCATTGGAGCTGCAGAGCAGTCATTTTTACTTTTTGAACTGCACAAAAGGCAGGCTGTAAAAGCAGTTTTTACAAACACCTCAGGAGGAGTCAGGATGATGGTTCCAACCACAGCTCTTATTTGAGCAAATTGTGAGTAGCATGCAAGAGTTGAGTCTTCTTTTTATCAGTAGAAGTCACAGAAATCACTCCTGTTCTGCCGAAAAGGAATTCAGACAGAGAGTCTTCAAGTGTCATGCTAGCAGAATCAGTACGGAAAAGCAAACTTTGCTCACTGGCCAAATGTGCTCTACCTAGTGATTCAAACTCTACCAGAGAACTGACTATTCAACTGCAGAAGCTATCATAGTAACTGAATGCAACTCTTCAACTTCAAACAATTAATCCAGACAACTAACATTTCAACCCAGAACTACAGACGTACTGTGGTATCATCAAGGACCGAATTGAATTTCATCTTTAAAAGGATCTTAAGTAACTCATGGCAGTGCTTTGTAATAAACTAACCATTATCTTGTTCAAGATTAAAGCTTTTCTGTTGGCTATTTTTAAAATGGAATCATGCATAAATTAAAAGGGAGCTATATGTACAATCAGGTTCTTAGTTCACAAACCACTTTGTGAAACGCTTTTTAATTTGGTGTTGTGTTTGGATGCCCCATAATTTTAAAGCTATTGGATGCGACTGTCACAGTGTATTTGGTTAGAAGTAATTTGAGTCTTGCTCCCCCCATAAAACAGAAGATTACCAGCCAGAAACAATGAATGTAGATTTATTTATGTATGCATTGTATCAGCTGGACAACATTCAGGCCTGAGCCGATATCTGTCAAGTGACACTCACACCAAAAACAAATGCTGGGCATCTCCAACAAGAGAGAATCTAACCATTTACTCAGAACAGTTAATTGCATAATAATTACTAGACCCCAATTTTATCAATATTCCGGGGTTACCATTGACCAGAAACTCAATTGGACTAGCTATATAAATGTGTTCACAAGGTCTGAGGCTAGGAATTCTGAGATGAGTAACTCATCTCCTGGCTTCCCAAACTATGTCCATATCTATAAGACAAGTCAGGATTGATTGAACACTCCCCACTTGGCTGGACGTGTGTGACTCCAACAACACTCAAGAAGCCCGGTGATATCCAGGAAAAAGTAGCTTGCTTGATCAGCACCGCATCCACCAACCTAAATTTTATTCCATCATCCAACATTGAACAGTAACAACAATACATTGTAGGAACTTGCCAAGGTTCCTTTGGCAGCATTTTCCAATTTGCAACCTTCTACCACCAAGAAGGCCAAGGTTAATGGACAGGTGGAAGCACCACGACCTACAGGTTTCCCCCTTAGCCACACACCATCCTAACTTGAAACTATATTACCATGCCTTTATTGTCACTGTGGAAACATCAATGGCATGGCTAGTTCCTGTCTGTCCCGGTGTGTTCCCTCTTTTATTGCAGTTGTTACTGTTATGCTTCATTTAATAGCTAGCTATAGCATTCAAAACTTTGTTGATAGTAGATAGTTTAAAATACATATGGAGTTGTAGACATGGTCTAATGAGTTCTGATTAATGTGTATTGGTAAAAATGTTTCAATTTTAGGAATCATGCTTTAGGATGAGTCCTATAATGAGCAAGCTTGTGGAAACATCTACGTCAGACGAACCGCAAAAAATCAGGAAGTTGGTTTGACACCACCTTCTAAAAGGGTAATTAGGAACAGGTAGAAGCAATAACGCTCAAATCTCATGAAAGAATTAAAAGAACCGTTATTGTGTTTCCAATCTTCGCATCTATCCTGAAGATATTTGAGAACATGGTCAGCTGCCAGTTCTCCTCCAAGCCATCCATAAACATGGCTTAGAGCTATATCACTGTTCCTCCACTGTCACCAGATAACAATCCTGGAACTTTGTTCCAAACAGCTACGTGGATTACAGCAATATAAAGAAGGTGACTTATCACCACTTTCTCAAAAGTAATTACAGATGGACAATAAATGCTGACTTGCAAGCCACTCCCAAATCCCCAAAAATTAAAAAGTGTGGATACTTTGATTGAAAATTATATGCATTTAGTTTTATAGTGCAAATTATAAGCTTGCTCTTTACAGGACTTGTCATGACTAGAATTTTAAAGCTTTATTCCTAAATTCAATTTTTATCTTTATCATTGCCACCTTTAGGATTAGTAGAGCACTTTAACTGCCCATTACCATCAGTAGTCAATTAATGCTCAGAACTCATTAGGTCATATCTACCACTGCATATGAAATTCAAAACTGTCTACTCTCAACTAAGTTTCAAATGTTAAAACCAACTGTTAAATGAAGCATAACAGCACCAACTGCAATGAAAGAGGGAATATGCAGTGACAAACAGAAACTAATCATGCTAGTGATTACCTTTTCCACCCAGATGAAGCATTTGGGGAAAAAAAAAAGTAAAAAATTACATTTAATTTTCATTATGAGATAGCAAGAACTGCAGATGCCGGAGTCAGAGTCAAGACAGCGTGGAGCTGTCATCAGAGCAGAAAAGCTGACATTGCCTGTCGGGACCTCTCTTCAGAACTGAAGAAGAGTCCCAACCCAAAATGTTGACTTTCCTACTCCTCTGATGCTGCCTGACCTGTTTAATTTTCATTGTTATTTTTAGTGCACTAGTTAGTTTTTAATTAAACTCCTGCTTGGAACTTTTAAAAAATGATAATTAGCCCATTAATATAAGAATTTAACTGTGCTATAGATTAAAAAATAATTTACGTGCCACATAAACCAATATTTTGAAGCAGCACAAAGGAAATCTACAAAGCAAAATTGACATAAAAACAAAATTACATCCATTAAGTAGTCAATATATTGTTTTCTCTTACCTTGTTTAGGCAGTGGGTATGAAATATTAAAATAGTCTTCATAAAATTCCAGGAGTCTGACTGCTGCATCAAGAGCAAATGAGGTCTGATTGATCTTCTCTGGGACAGAGTACACAGAAATCTATCAGAGAGAAAAACAACTACTTAGTCTTTCCTAACATACGTCTGGAAATTAGAGTCTGCATCAATTTGTAAGATATAACCAATAATTTGTCTTAATGTACTTATAAAACTGTTTTAAAAAAAAACAAAGTGCTTTTGCAAATGGAGAGGAATTCAAATCATTGTCATTGATTGTAGTAAAACAGAGAAGTAGTCAAAATATTCTTTCACTGTTCATCAGTAAATAAGAACAGGAGCAGAAGTAGTCAATTCAGGCCCTAAAGCCTGCTCCGCCATTTTAATACAATCATGGATGATGTCATCTCGGCATCAACTCCATTTTCCTTGCCATTCTCCATAAACCTTCAACCCATTACTAATTTAAAAAATCAGTCTATCTCCTCCTTTAACTGAATGTCCTGACATCCACTGCACTCTGGGGTAGTGAATTCTACTGATTCACAACCCTTTAAAGAGAACTAATTACTCCTTGACTGTTTACAAACTGCTATTCCTCATCTTAAAACTATGATCTCTCATTTTAGATTGCCCCATGTGGAAACATCCTCTCTGCATCTACTTTGTCACTCCCCTTTAGCATCTTCTATACTTCAATTAGATCTCCTCTCATTCTTTTAAACTCCAGAGAATAATCAGCCCAAATTGCTCAATCTCTCTCCATAAGATAAACACTCATCTCTGGGATCAATCTAGCAAACCTTCTCTGACCTGTCTCCAATACAGCTCCAACCTCAAATAAAGGGATGAAAATTATACGTAGTACACCAGGTGCAGTCTCACAAATGCCTTGTCCAACAATTCCTTACTTTTATAATCTATTCCTCCAGCAATAAATGCCAAAATTCCACTGTATAATTATTAAGAAACTAGTTTATAGTGCTTTGTCTCAAAAGTATAGAAGAATTGAACTTCAGTAAAGAGCTTCAAGGCTTATGGTGTGTGAACAATGTAGTTCAATGCCCAAACAGGAACACAAATTAAAATAAGATAATCAGTCAAGCAAACTCTTTTGTAACTTGGAAAGGTTATGAGAAAGACTAACAAAAATAAAAGAGTTGTTCCATTTTGGTAGGATTAGAAAACAAACTGGCAAATTGAACAGGTCCCATCTGAATCACTGCATCCAGTTTCAGATTGACATTTAACACTCTCAGTTAATCACGCTGGCATGGATATTTCATACTCCAAACTGGATAAGGATATACATATTACACACAGACAAACTGTCTCCAAATCAAACATTAATGTGCTTGCAAAAATTTTGAAAAGTGTTTTATTAAAAAAAAAAGACACATCAACCCTGCAGTATGGGAGAAATAAACAAAATAGTATGGAGATTCTAAAACATCTGAACTGGACTTGGAATGTGAATTTCTAGCTGCTTTGCAAAATATTTCCATGATGTTAATGAAATAATGTAATACCAATACATATTTACAGCCTGGTTTGTTCGTAAACCATGACATTATTTCAAAGCAACTGAAATAATCATACAATGACTGTTTGTGAAAGCAACCAAAAGATAGAACAAATGTCAAATATGGCACATGCTGTGCCTATGAACAAATGATCCAACAAGTACCAGACATAATTACTTAAGATTGTTGTACTACTTTTAAGTAGTGTTAACTTACCTTAACTCCATGCTTGGTTTCCTTACTGACCCATTTAAAGTCTGCCACGATAAAAGCCACAAGGTACGTGCTCATTTTAACACTCACATCAAACTGATCTTCGATAAGTCCATTGGCTAGTTTAACAGAGTTTATCTAAAAAATAAATAATCGTTAATTTCCTTTAGCAATACTGATGGACAAAGAAAATGATAAATGGCATCTATCGCTTCCCGTAACTTTCCGTCTATTTTTTATTCTCGGACTGGCACTTAGCTCTTAAGACTCTAACATTAGCTTTTGGCAGAAGATTGGTGTGAATAATGCAGTTTCTGTATTCATCATCAGTGATCTTGGAGTGATCTCAATTCTCTCCACTCTAAATTATTGTCTTTCACTTCTATCTTCAAGCCTCCCCTTCCATATCGTCCCAGATCCTACTTTTTGACATCTATGATCTTCTCCTTCTGGCACCACCCTAGCATCAAATGACTATTTCAACATTACATTCTTCATATCTTTAATTAACTTGCTGCTTTTTGATAACATGGATTAAATCTTCTCAATTACATCTTTTCTTGCTTCCTTGTCAACCACACTTCTTTTAAAAATATTTTTGTAGATTCCTGTTTCCTGCCTCCATCCCTCCCTCCTTGAATAGAGTTTACATTTGATATTTTCTTGTCTGATAGAACCTTTACAGAATCTAACAAATTTTCAAAAAGTAACACTAACACATCTACTACCTTGTTAGTCACCGTTAGAGATCCTAGGATAAAGTATCTGCACCTGGAGACATGTTAACACACAGTTCCATCAACTGGCTTAGTACTATTTTATTTGTAATTGTAATTACCAAATTCTCTCTTCCTTCAACCTCCAGATTTACAAAGATTATTGGAGTTTTTTTGTTTTGTATAGTGAAGACAAAATATTCATTTATTACATCCACCATTAAGTCCCAATTCTCACTCTCTAATAGACCAATATTCACATTCTATTTCTTTTCAGAAGCCAATAGAAACTCTTGCTATCTTTTTTCCATTTCTAGCTCATTTCCTTTCATCCTCCAATTTATTTGTCCTGATTAGCCATTTAGTCATTGTCATTCTTTGTATTCTGACCAGTCATCTGACCTGTCACTCACCTTTGCGCAACTATATGCTTTTTCCCCTAAAGTTTGGTGTTGTACATAACAACTTTACTTAAAAATGGATGGTGAGTTGTCCCCTTGGACTTTATTTCCCTCTTTCTGGTAGAAATGTACTTATTCTGAGTATTCAGAACTATCCCTTGAGATGTCTACCACTGCTCCTCTACTGATCTACCTTTTAGTCCATATCCCGGTTAACTTCAGCTAGCTCAGCCTTTATTCCCACATAGTTGCCATTATTTCAGTTTAAAGCACTAGTCTTCAAACTATTTTCTGCTTTTCAAAGTGGATGCAAAATTCAATCATATTATGCTTATTGCTACTTCAGCGAATGTTTGCTGTGAAATCACTAATTAATCCTGTTAAATCACAAAATACCATCTAGTATAGCCCACACTCTGGTGTATTCCAGAAATTGCTGCTCCAAGAAACGACCTCAAAAACATTCTACGAGCTCCTCAATGAGGCTGCTATTACTGTTGGAGCGTACCCCTGACCAGGGACAAAGACTCGAGAGGCAGGCAGGATTCAGGTAAGTGGCAGATTTTTATTCAGGCAACAATCGGTTAATGCAGGGAGAGGGCTAAAGATCTTCCCCAAATCTAGCCTCAACGTGAAAGTCCAGTTGTTTGCTTAATCTACGGCTCAGATCGGAAGAGAGATCAATGACACACACTGACTTTTACAGTGAAATACTGAATTTTCATACTTTTTGTGTTACAATAACCACATACAGCGTGGTCACTGCGTCCTTCCCCCTTATTCCATACACCCAATCCTGTGAAACATCTAATCAATGATGGGCATTCCTTTGGACAGCCCCAGGTTCCTATAATCTCATGGTGTTTAACAGATATTGTAATCACCAGGCCTTGGGATCTTTCTATGCATCCTATTAATTTGCATTCCAAAGTTACTGGTTATACTCCTTCGGGTCTGTTCAAGACTTGCTTATCTCTAATGACTGCTTGAATTCTGTTATTCATTGTATTTCACGTGCTATCTCGATCAAATTCTGTTATTACTCTTATATTTTCTACTGTCCCAACTTTTTTTATACAAAAAAAAGGACAGTTGGTTTTAACTAACAACTATAAGGTTTGTAGTATTAATTTCCCATTTTAAAGTTAGTTAGTTAAAGTTAAGTTAGTTAGTTAAAGTGGCAGGCATTTTTTAAAAGAAACAAAGAAAGCATTTCCCCAACACTAGTTAATTTTCACATCTAAGTTTAAATGTTTTTCCCCAATGCTTCCTTTATACTTTGGTTATACGTGTATCTATATTTATGTTGAAATCCATCTCTGTGATTATCTGAAGAATCTCAGACCATAGCCTATTTCATAATATTTGAATAACTTCAAAGAAACAATCGATTACTACAAAATAACTTTAGCTGTTGTTTTCACGGCTGCTTAATGAGTTAGGCGACAGGTTCACGGACTGTGATTTACACCCCTTGTTCAACTGGTGCTGTTCACCTAATGGGACAACATCCTTTCATTAGTGAGGCTGGAATCAATCACTTGTTGTATTTTAATGAATTGGTGTCTATCCTGAGAAATCTTCTTATCAAAATGTCTCGGATGGCTGCTCATAGGGTCACCCGTTCACCTTGGAGAAGCCCTGTTCAAAAGGTACCATGATGTTTCACTTAAATGCTGGAGTAGGCTGTTTTAATTCTATTTGTCCCTTGTTGGCCATTTATTGTCTTTCAAACAAGGGCTGCCCTTACAATTACCAATCTGACTTTTGCAGTTTATTTAGATCTAAAGCACCCATTATTAACGCTATCTATTCATCATAAACACCAGATATATCTTGTTTACTTCTTCATTCATCGCAGTTACTCTTTGGAGGCTTGTAAATTGCTGCCACTAATGACTTCTTTCCAAACTGTTCAGCATTTTCAACTAAAGCGATTCTACATCCTGATCTCCAGATCAAAGGTCACCTCTAAATATCTCACCAGCACAACCTTCAATTAGGAGTATTGCCCTGCCATCTATACCTTGCTTCCTATTCTTCTTAAATATCAATATTCAGAACCCAATCCTGGTCTTCCTGTGGTAACATCTCCACAATGGTGATCAGATCAAATTTATCTATTTCCTGTTACAGTAATCAACTCCTATTCAGGCAAATGATCTCTGGTGTTCAATAGATAACTGCCCCAATCAAGAAGCTGCCTATTTAACTAGGCTATTTTAACTTACTTCAAATCTATTTAGGTCTAGGTCAGACTCTCACTCTTACTTTCAACTTGAAAAAGATTCACCAGTTGAATTTGCACCTTGAACCAAAAAAAATTGATAGACTGAGAGAATATATCTCACACACCTGATGTCTCCCTAACATTGACTGTGCATCCTTACAGGTAGCCTGTAACTCCAGTTAGCTTGGAATCAGTGTGGAGCTCATTATTCCCTCAAAATAGTTAGCCCACGCATAGTCTAAATATTGTGTTCAGATGTACAAGTGTATGGAAAATTATTTGGTGATACACATCGACCATCTGGAGTTCATGTGATGCTACTCTTTTCAATGAACGTGCACTACAAAATGAATCATTACATTATTGCTTTCAACAATAGATTGTGCAGGGTACTTCTAGAATGCCATTTCTTTCCTGAAATTGTGCCTCTCCAGTTCCTGTATGACCAAGGCTAAGACACAGCATCCGTGATTTGGATATTAGAACGGTCCAACGCAAATTGGATGTTTTGTGGCCCTTTCTCCTATAATTATTTAGGATACTTGCAGTGTTTCTGTCACTGTTCGGATGCAAGACTGGTTACAAGAGACAGTACAATTCTTCAACAGATCTCTTGGTTCTCATTGTGGCTGGGGCACTCTCACAGCTTGTGTTTGTAATGAATTCTGGTAGTTCCTCTCCAATTACCATACACTTCATTCTATTGATTCTCAAAATGTCTGATGTCTCCTTTGCCATCATGTGCTAAACCTTTGATGACTCCTTCATTTAGTTGACTTTAAAAAATGCTTAATTAATAATTCTTCTCATGTGATCTGTGCAAATTTAAGTGGATTAATCTTTAAAAGAATCAACTGTTCTAAGTCATTTATAACCAGAAAGTAAATATTTATAACCAGAAAGTTTTGGTGTCAATATGGAAGTTCAATTGTACATACAATGGGCATGTTGGATACAGCAATATGTCTGGACTCTCTTTGTATTTTGATTGAAAACTTGGCTTTGAAAGCAGGTTCATCAAAGCATGGAAAGGCCATGCGGGCTGCAGTGGGCTCAAACTGGGTAGATGCCAACACACTACGAACAGAAGTACAGAAAAACAGTTAACTTTAGTTAGGACATGTTTGCATAATAAAGATAAAATTGTGCACAGTTTGTTCAAAACAGACTGAATTGCTTGTAGCATGTCAATAGATAAGCCTCAGTATCTGTGATACTGTGTACTGTATCACAGAACAGTGATAAGCCATGTTCAGACTGCTATCAACAATTAATTTTACATTATAGCAGAAGTTGAGAAGTTATTATTGGAGAGATTAACAACAACTATTTAACACATCTAGGTAATATTCTTTTAACATCCATTTTGATAAGGGTATTACAAAATTTACAAAGAACTAGTTAACATCCATGTTAAAACCCTGTGAGATATATCCTGTCAAACAGTGTTCCAAGATTGCTTGCAGCTTGATGAAATAAATGTTATTGAACTCATTCCTTCCAGGTGAAGACTTTTAAACTGTCTTCAGGCAAATATTGGTTTTGAATTTAAAAGTAGAGTTAGACTTCCATAAGATCAAAATTGATCAAGACAACTGATGATTAAAAAATCCACTAGGGAAATTAATGAGGACAAAAAGAATTGTTGCAAGTAAAGACATAAGCCACATAATTCTAATTGCGTAGTCCTTGCTGGGGAATGAAGTACGGAGTTTAAAAAGACAGGAGATTGACAGCAAATTAAAATGTTCAGTGAGCCGGTGCAGGCACAGCAGGCCAAATTGTTTTCTTCTGCATAGTTGGGCAGTATGTTGGCTCAGTGGTTAGCACTGCTGTCTCACAGCACCAGGGACCAAGATTTGATTCCAGCCTCGGGCGACTGTCTGTGTGGAGTTTGCACATTGTCCCCGTGTCTGTGTGGGTTTCCAACGGGTGCCCTGGTTTCCTCCCACAGACCAAAGAATTGCAAGTTAGGTGGATTGGCCATGCTAAATTGCCGATAGTGTCCAGGAATGTGCAGGCTAGGTGGGTTAGCCATGGGGAATGCAAAGTTAGGGTTGATGGTGTTCTGTGTGGAATACTCTTCAGAGGGTCGGTATGGACTCAATGGACTGAATGGCCTGCTTCCACACTATAGGGGTTTTATGTAGCAATTCCATGATTCAGAGAGGCTTCTATGTTACAGAATTCAAACCTCAAAATGATAAAGGTGTCAGAGATTTTTTTTTAAGCAGTTGTGGTGAAAAAGGTAGGGGTGATATTAGATTGAATAAAATCATTTGTATTTTGTGTTAAAACAAGCACTGGCTATTATCAGTGGAACAGATGCAGGAAGGAACTTTGGGGTCAATAACAACCCCTCCAGATTTAACAAGATGAGCTGGGTAAGGAAGCTGAATGGGTCAAGACCAAAGGAATGCAAGTACAAACAGGAACTGTGGAAGGTAAATTTGGCGTTGGCATTATTAAACTGAACTGGATCTTAAATGTTGAAGAGGCAGTTGGAGGCTATTGTAGCCACTATGGGAACAATGAAAGAAGCAAAGAAATAAAGCAATACGTGAGAAAAACGTGAAAATTGACTTGTATGTAATACTGGGCAGGTCATGTATGAATGAAGAAGATGAAGGGACCATGAATAGAGCTCTGGAATATAAGTGATGTGACCAAGTGATGGAGGAAATGTAATAAAAACCCCGAAAGAACCGAGGAAGCTGTAAATCAGAAACAAAAACAGAAGTTGCTGGAAAACTTCAGCATACCTGGCAGCATCCACGAAGAAAAATTAGAGTTAATGTTTCAGGTCCGGTGACCTGGAGGAAGTGTATTGTTTACTTGTATTAAGCACAAGTAGAACCACAGCAGAGGCATTTCAGGAAGTTGGAAAGGGCAAGTGTTCTCAACAGCAGAAATACTTAAGAATAAGGGCAGACAAATTTATCATCAATATTGTAAAATATTGGCTGAAATTTTCCAAGGCCATTGAGACTTGAGGCAGAGGAGTGAGGGTACCAAAAATAGAAACAAATGGGGAGGGCCAGAAGAAATCTGAAGTCTTCACATTGAGAAACTGAGTGATCTGGTCCCCAATTTCTCAATAGAAGAAACCAAGTATGTATCCATCAAAGACATGGCTGCACTCAAGGCCTGGGTGGACTCCTCCATCCTCTACACTTCGTCACGCAAGACCTCAAAGCTCCACCAGATGCTCCCAACTAACTCTGTAGCCAGAGCATTTGTCATGTTGCCACTAACTCCAGAAGCCCTGGCATCAGCCTAAGGCTTAGCATCAACCTGGAATCCCACAGCCCTCTGAATATCAGTATCTTTGGCTGTCACAGGCTCCCTAGGTCATTAGTGCTGCTCCATTTGGGTTGTGAACCAGAATCTTGGCCTTCACCTTCTGGGATTCTCTCATCCTCACAAATGATCAGCAGTAGGAACAGTGCCAGAAAGTGGAAATAGGTTAACATTGTCAGAGTGAACAGAGCTGAAGGCTGGAAACTGTATGATCAGGAGTTGAGACAGGATGAACTCAAAAGGATAAAGTTTCAGACTTCAAAAACTAGATTGTCATTGGCATGGAAAATGAAAAATGATAAAAACTAGAGAGATGGGATTGGTCCAAAAAAAAAAAAACAAAACAAAAAAGAGTTAAAAGGTACCAACAGAACAACAGCAATAATGGCAATTTTAGCACCAATGGAATTTCGCCAATGTGACCACATTTTCAATTCCCTTCCCTTTTAGGAACTTTAGGAGAATTTTGGATAGGTTTCTTTAGCTCAGGGTCTCTATAACTAGTACCAGGCTGGATGCTGTACATTATATACACATGAAACACACTCGGTGGGGAAAGAATTACTAAGCAGTGGATGACATAAGGAGTAAATTCCCATAAGGGTTCTTGTGGCACTGTCACCGTGACACAAGACCCACGTGAACCCTGCAAAAACATCAGGAATGCTCATGCTGTGTTTAAAGTGTTTAGTGGATTTTTTTTTAAACTGAAAGTGATCAGATGAACCCATTGAAATTTATCCTCAAAATCTGAAACCTTTAGGTAAGAAGGACAGCACTTACAAGGTCTACAGGTAAAGATTTTTACTCCAAAGACTAAAAGGCAAATTTTTAAGACATTATTCAAATAACTTTGTTCTGCGATACTTTAATTTCAAAGTATAATTTTCTTTGCTAATATAATGTGTTTGCAAAGTTCAGTGCATTGTTTGCAAGAATAGTCTTGGACTATTTGGACAACTGCTCATTAGGAGGTTAAACGCCAAGGAAGACCGGTGGGTCAGATGGTTTCCATGCTTTAATTTCTCTGCACTTATGTAAAACAGCCAAAAAAAAAAAATTATTTAAGTCAGTATTCATATGATCAAATCAACATGAAAAAAGCTACTTAAATAGGAAATAAAAATAGATTACTAGAAATACAATGTAATTCTGACAGCCACCGAAACACAAGGAAGTTTGGCTTCTAAGTTTGAGACCATTTGGCACACCGGTTTATAAAATGCCTCATCCTGAAATGTTAGTCATCTAACTATTTTTCAGATGTTAAATGTTCTTTGTGTGTTTTCAGCTTTTTTTTCTACGTTATTTCTAATTTCCAACGTATTTCTCTTCTATTGCATTGGATATTGTGTATTTTACCTTATTTCACCATCTTGTTTTTTAAAAGTGCTCTTGTAAAAGCCATGGAAGCTTTCTGACAGATTGGCAACGTAGTCAACATTGATCAAGTACGTGTTTCCTGAGTACAAGGGTGCATCCGCCTGAAGTGCAAGTTGCTCAAATGGTGGGTATTCTAAAATTTCCAAGTTGCTTTCCAACCCAGGTGTTCCATCCTTTTTCACAGGTATGACTGTTGCCTTGATGATTTCCAGGTTTTTGCTGTGTAAAATGATAGAGTTGGTATCCGATTCAACCAAAACTTCAATTCTTACAGATGCAGAAAAATTCAGTGTGGTCAAGTTTGGCTGGATAACCAGATCATACTGCACGGGGACAATGGTTTTAGGCAATCTCATCTTGTTCCAGGGATACATTCGACCATCTGATGTGAATGGGAAATCTGATGCCTCCTTACCATTCTGGTCATTTTGTAAAGCGTCTGTTATTGAAAAGGTGAGGATAGCTGTAAGGAATCCTATCAATTTTAAATATCCAGTAGTTGCCATCTGGAAGTCAGCTGTGGTGGTGCATAAATAGTTGCAATTTTTCTGTTTCATTCAGAATAGTTTCAGTTCTAAATCAGATTGTTCCTCCCTTAATATTTTCTCTGTTGCAAATAAAACATCAAGCATTGTGAAAACAGCGTTGTCCTGCGTGAAGAAAAACAACCATAAATACATAAATTTGCAATTAACTGTACTTCATAATTATTTACGGCTAAACACTGGTGATAAAATGCGAATAAGAACATAGAAACAGAAGTAGGTCATTTAGTTCCATGAAGTGGCTCAACCTTTCAAGTAGAACATGGTTGATGTGGATCGCAATGCCATTTAATTAGTACGATCTGAGATAACAAGGTGCAGAGCTGGATGAACACAGCAGGCCAAGCAGCATCATAGGAGCAGGAAGGCTGACGTTTTGGGCCTAGACCCTTCATCAGATTGCATTTGAAGAATGAAAATTAATCTGATCTGAAACTTTTCAGTGACTGCAATATTAACAAGGCAATTAATTAAACAAATAGAAAATAGTGGAGAAGTTCAGCTGGTCTGGCAGCATTTATGGAGACACAACAGAGCTAACATGTTGAGTCCAACATGACTCTTCTTTACAGAAAACAAAAAATGCTGGAAATCACAGTGGGTCAGGTAGCAGTGGAGAGACAGCAAGCTAACATTTCGGGTCTTGATGACTTTTCATCAGAGCTGAAGTAAAGTGTGGAGGGGGCAGTATTTATAAATAGTGCGGGGGGAAAAGGGCGTTGATAGCGCAAATTAAGTGATTAGAATGTGAGAATGGCAGAACAATGGTGCATGCAACTGACAAACTGGAAAGAACAGATGGTCCCACTTGAGCGGGGGGAGGGGAGAGAGGACATGGTGATAGAGAATGTAACAAATAAAGTTAAAAGAAAGGGAAGAAATGGGAGCGACTTCACAATCTGAAGAAGGAGTTGAACTTGACATTAAGTCTCAAAGATTGTAAAGTGCCTAGTCAGAAGATGAGATGTTGTTCCTCCAGTTTGCGTTGTGATTTGCTGGAACATTGCAGCATGCTGAGGACAGATAAGTGGGCATGCAAGCAAGATGCTGAGTTAAAATGATCGGCTACGGGAAGGTTGGGGTCATACTTTTGCACTGACCGGAGGTGTTTTGCAAAGCAGTCACCAGTCTGTGTTTGGTTTCTCTAATGTAGAGTAGGCCACATTGGGTGCAGCGAATGCAACAGACCAGATTGGAGGCAGTACAGGTGAAATACTGCTTCAGCCCTTGGATGGCGAGTAGGAAACAGGTGAAGGGGCAGGTGTTGCAGTTACTTGGGAAGGTGGAGAGGTGTTGGTGGTCTTCTTCAGAGTTCTGAAGATGAATCATAATCGGGCTCAAAACATTAACTCCGTTTTTTCCCCACAGCTGCTGCCAGACCCACTGAGTTTCTGCAGCCTTTTCGGTCTTTGTTTCAGATTTTCAGCATCCACAGCATTTTGATTTTACTAGGCAAATCACAATTCTGTTTGTAGCCTTCATATCTTAATTCAAAGTTGATGGTATTCAAAGATTCAAGTTATTCAGTTTATTGAATCCAGTGATTTGAATAAGACAGTACAGTGATAAAAATAGATAACTCCCAAAAATGGGCATAGGGATCACTACGCACGAATAACCTACATCCATTGTTTCTAATCCAGGGAGCATACAAACTTCTTGCTAACAACTAATTTTATACCTGAAGAGGGACTACAAAAATGAACACAAGTTCAAGTTGGCCTAGACCAGTTCAAGTTAGTATGCTTTGTGGCTAATACAGATGCTGGAACTCATTATAAATTAAGAGTGGCACAACATGACAAAGATTTTCTGACATTGCTATGCTTGGTGCAGGAGGTACAGCGGGGAACTGACATGATCCATCTACAGCGAAGCAGGAGGGACTTGTATAAAGTTTGCAAAGGTGCGCGCGACACAGAGCCAACAATTCAGATGCACATAAAGATTAGCTGAGAGGCAAGATCTGTGGTGTGACACTAAGCACAAGTGAGCTGCTAGAGCAAGGGATAAGAATAACGCAGATGCCAACTTGCCAGAGAAAGGCACACACAAGCCCTGCTGATGGAGTCTCAGATGAGCATTTTGATGGGCTACAGCAGAATATTGATATGTATGCACAATGAAATGCAAGGTGAATTGGTTTGTGCAGAATTCTTGAAATCAGTACAAAGTCCATCAGTATGTGCCACAGCACTCCATATAGAATTCAATAACTTTAAACAACTGAAAACCAACAAAAAATTCAACAAATGCATGAAAAACCAATCAGCAACTAATCAGAAATGCAAATGGCTTTAATGGCTCTGGTGGGTATCCATCCTGCCAGTTTTTCAGGGGGCAGTCACACTTTGAATTTGAGGTAGTTAATCTATCAGGGACAGGAGTATGGCAGGTAGAGAGATCCAGGAGGTAATGCTGAAGGAGCCTCAGCCCTTGAACTTTCCTAACAGGTTTGAGTTTTTTGTTTCTTGTGTGGATGAGCGTCAGGGCTGTCAGGAGGATGAGCAAACTGCTCATAGCACTGTGGTACAGGGTGCCATTCAAGAGGGTGGAGAAAAGAGAAATGTGGTTGTAATCAGTGATAGTATAGTCAGGGAAATAGACAGCGTTCTCTCTGGCCACGATTGATAGTCCCAAAGTGCGCCTGGTGCCCGGGTTCAGGATCTCTCACCTGGGTTACAGAGGAACTTGGAGTGGGAAGGGAAAGGTCCAGTTGTCATGATCCACATAGGTACCAATGATCGAGGTAGAGAAAGGTAAAAGTTTCTGCTGAGGGAATGTGAGTAGCTAGGGACTAAATTCGAAAGCAGAACCAAACATGTTATAATCTCCAGATTACTATCTGAGCCACGAGCAAATTGGCACAGGAACAAAAAGATTAGAAGGGTAAACACATGGCTCAAAGATTGGTGTGGGAGAAACAGATTCATGGCATAGTGGTATCAGTACCAGGGAAGGAGGGAACTGTTCCGATGGGAAGGATTCCACCTGAATCATGCTGGGACCAGAATCCTGATGAATCGCATAACGAGGATCAGGCTTAAAGTAAATAGTGGGAGAGTGAGGTCATTTGCATTGAAAATCATGAAAAAAGTTAAAGTGCAGTGGGGGCATGGAAGACACAGCAGAGGTTAAAGTTTGAGAACAACTAAAAGGACAAAGAGCGTGGAAAGGGTCGGGAATCTAACTTCAGACCGAGGGGGCAAATATGAGAAGGGGAGCAGTCAAAGCAGGACTAAGGGTGTTAAATGTGTGCAGTATATGAAACACGGTAAATGAGCTTGTAGTACAGATTGAAATTGGCAAATATGATGTTGTGGGTGTCACAGAGAAGTGGCAAGAGGATCAGTGCTGGGAACTAGAATATTCAAGGTTATACATCCTATCGAAACGACCGGCAGATGGGAGAGCGGCAGGGTTGCCTTCTTATTAAGAAATGAAATTAAATCAATTGCAAGAAATGATAATAAGTCAGAAGGCATAGATTCTGTGTGGGTAGAGCTGAAGAACTGCAAAGGCAAAACAGACCCTGATGAGAGTTGTCTACAGACATCCCAGCAGTAGTCAGGATGTGGGGAAGAAAATAAAATCGGGGGATACAAAATGCATGTAAGGAAGGCACTCATACAGTAATCACGGGGAACTGGGAATCAGTTGGACTGGGAAAATCAGATTGGCAGCGGATCTCAAAAGGAATTTGTGAAATGTCGATGAACTTTTTTTTGGGACAGCTTTTGGTAAAGACCAATAGGTAACAGGCAATTCTGGATTTAGTAATGTGTAATGAAGCAGACTTGAACAAGGCGCTTTTTTTTCCCCTTTATTCATTCACAGGATGAGGGCATTGCTGGCTAGACAGCATTTATTGCCCATCCTTAATCACCCAGATGGCAGTTAGGAGCCAACCACACTGCTGTGGGTCTGGAGTCACATGTAGGCCAGACCAGGTAAGGATGGCAGTTTCCTTAGTGAACCAGATGTGTTTTTCCTGACAATCAACAATGGATTCATGTCATCATTAGATTCTTAATCCCAGATATTTATTGAATTCAGTTTCCACCATCTGCCATGGTGGGATTCGAACCCACGTTCCCAGAATGTTGTCTGGTCTCTGGATTAACAGTCCAGTGATAATACCACTAGGCCATCGCCTCCCCTACTTGGTGAAGGAAACCCTAGGGTTAACGTGGTAGAATTCACCCTACAGTTTGAGACAGAGAAGCTGGAATCAAAGCTAATAGCATTACAAGTGAGTAAAGGTAACTAAAGACATGAAGGAGGAGCTGGCAAGAGTTGATTGGAAGGTGAGAATAGCAGGGAAGACAGTGGAGCGGCAACAGCAGGAGTTTCAGAGGTTAATTCAGGAGGCACAGCAGAAATCCATGCAAAGGAAGAAGAGTTTTTTTAAAGATATCTAAAAAGGTGAGAAAGGCAAGAGTGGACATTGAACTGCTGGAAAAATGAGGCTGGAGAAGCAGTAATGGGTAACCAAGAAATGACGGAGGAACTGAATACATACTTTGCTTCAGTTTTCACAGTGGAACAGACTAGCAGCATACCAGAACTTCAACAGTCAGGGGACAGATGTAAGTTTAGTGGCTAACATTAAGCAAAAAAAGGTGCAGGGGAAGCTGAAAAGGTCTGAAAGTGGATAAATCACCCTGACCAGGTGGACTATACCCAGGACATCTAAAGGAGATCAGTGAGGAGATTCCAGAGGCATTGGTGGTGACCTTTCAGGAATCACTGGAGTTAGGGAGAGACCCAGAGAACTGGAAAATGGCTAATATAACACCGCTGGTTAGCCTGACCTCGGTCATTGGTAAAATTTTAGTGTTCATTATTAAGGATGAGATTGCAGGGTTGTTGGAAGTGCATGGTAAAATAGGACTTAGTCAAAGGAAGGTCATGCCTGACAAATCTGTTAGAATTGTTTGAAGTAGTAACGAGCAAGTTAGACTAAGGAGAGCCAGTGGATATGATCTATTTGACTTTTGACAAGGTGCCACACAGGAACCTGCTAAATAAGCTAAGACCCCATCTATTAGGGCCAAGGTATTGGCATGGTCAGAGGATTGTCTGACTGGCAGAAGGCAGAGAGTTGGGATAAAGGAGTCTTTTGCAGGATGGCAGCTGGTGACTAGTGGAGTCCCACCTGGGCCAGTTTTGGGACCATCACTATTCCTCTCTACATTAGCAATCTGGATATAGGAATCTAGGGCATTCTTGCTAAGGTTGCAGAAGGCATAAAGATGGGTGGAGGGAAAGGTAGTGTTGACGAAACAGGGAGACTGCAGACTTAGACAGACTAGGAGTGCATGCAAAGAATTGGCAAAGTGTGAGGTTGTACATTTTGGTAGGAAGAAGAGGTGTAGACTATTTTCTAAAACAGAAACCTCAAGTGCAAAGTCCCTTTGTCCTTGTTGAGGATTCTCTTATGGTTAACATACAGGTTCAGTTGGCAGTTAGGGATGCAATTGCAATTTGGCATTCATTTCAAGACAGCTAGAATACAACAGCAGAGATGTATGGCTGAGGCCATAAAAGGCTTTGGTCAGACCGCATTTGGAATATTGGCAGCTATTGTGAACCCTGTATCTAAGGAAGGATGTGCTGCTGTTGGAGAGGGCCCAGAGCAGGTTTAAGGAGGTCCAAATTTGAAGGGTTTGTCATATGAGGGGTTGTCGAGGACTCTTGGTCTGTACTCACTGGAGTTTAGAAGGATGAGAGGAATCTGATTAAAACTTGCAAAATACTGCGAGGCCTGGATAGATTGGACATGGAGAAGATGTTTCCACTAGTAAGAGAGACCAGGACCCAGGGGCACTGCCTCAGAGAGTAGGGATGACCCTTTAGGACTGAGATGAGGAAGAATTCCTTCAGCCAGAGGGTGGTTAATCTGTGGAACTCATTGCTGTAGGAGAGTGTGGAGGCCAAATCGTTAAGTGTATTTAAGACAGGTAGATTCTTGCTTAGTAAAGGGATCAAGGGTTATGGGAAGAAGGCCGGAGATTGGGCTAAGAAACATATAGTTATGATTGAATGGCAGAGCCAATTCAATAGGCCAAGTGGCCTAATTCTGTTCCTATATTTTACGGTCTACATTGTGATAAATAGAAAATTTAATTTTGTTTTAGATGCATGCCCCTTTACTGGTCATGATAGGAAAATTCCTGGGTAAATAATGCACTTTGGCTGCTATGTTGTTGCTGGCTTGCAATGAAATCTCAGCTCTGATACATAAATTGAATACCTTTCACATGAATTTTGAACTTACTGGTGAGGGGGATTGCAAATCTGAGAACAATTTGATAGATGTTTACATTTTTAAAAATAATAAAATTTGAAGTAAAATTCCATTGGTACTGTATGATCTATAAAGGCCACTAATTTTACACTGTTGTGTTAAATAAACAAAAAGCCAACAAGTACTGATGCTGCCTGGCCTGCTGCGTTCTTCCAGCTCCACACTGTTACCACAAACACACAGCCTGCTTTGCCGTGTTTCAGGTTCGCACTTACAGAGTACATTATGATGGCACTCAGGAACTATTCAGTGTTTCACATACAAGTAACTACTTTGACATTCAATGTAGGCAAATACATCTAACATATCATACAGTCTGCTATAACAATCTAACACTTCCTTAAATATTGCACTGGGGCAGCAACACAAAATGAGGGAAGCAAAAGTAATGGTAGCTAAATTTCCAGATGACAACAAAAAGATCAGAAAGTATGTTGTGAACAAGACAAAGGTTTGCAGACGGTCATAGATTGAGTGGACAAAAATCTGGCAATGGAGTGCAATATGGGAAAATTTATACGAAGAATGAAAAAGCAGAATGTTACTTCAATGGAGAACAACTGTGAAATTCCAAGTGGAGGAACTTAGGTGTTCTAGCAAGAATGACAAAAAGTTAGCATGCAGGTACATCCCATAATCAAGGCGGCTAATGGGATACTATCCTCTAATGACAAGAAAAAATGAACATAAAGGATATTATGCTTCAGTTGTACAGAGCATTGGTAAGACCATAACTCAATTACAGCATGCAGTTCGCTTCTTGTTTAAAGCAAGATGTAAATGTATTGGAAGCGTTTCACTTCAGATCGAGACCTGGAGTGAATGAATTGTCTTGAGGATAGGTTGTACATGAGCTGGTTTCCACTGCACTTCCTACTTTGAGGCGCATGGTGGCACAGTGGTCACTGCTGCCTCACTGCACCAGGGACCTGGGTTCAATTCCAGCTTTGTGTGATTATGTGGAGTTTGCACTTTCTCCCCCATCTGCATGGGTTTTCTACCACAATCCAAAGTTGTTCAGGCTAGGTGGATTAGCTATGTTAAATGGGGGGTGATGGCGTGGTTCTGGGTGTGATGCTCTTTGGAGGGTCAGTGCAGCCTCAGTGGGCTGAATGGTCTCTATTTGCACTTTAGGGATTCTATTCTATGATTCTACTGCAATTGAAAAGAGGGCTGACTTGACTGACATGCGTAAGATTCTGAACAGTCTTGACAAAATAGATATGGAAAGAATGTTTCCTCTTGTGGATCGGTTCAGAACTTGAATACAATGTTTAAAAATTAGGAATGACCCCTTTTGGACAGATGAAGAGAATTTCTTTTTCATCAGAAGGTTTTGTGACTTTGGAACTCTGCCTCAGAGGGCAGTAAAAGCAGGGTCATTAAATCTTATTAAGAAAGCAGAGGTAGGTAGATTCTGCTAGGCAAGGGAATCAAAGGTTATCAGGGGTAGATGGGAATGTGGAGTTTGAAACAAACTGATCAGCCATGTTCTACATAAAGGTGCAGCAGGCTAAGGTGACAGAGGGTCTAGTTCTGTTCCAACTTCATATGTTCATATATGGAGGCCCTGAAGAGGATGATGAAAACATAACTAAGTTACTGCCACTAACTAAATAAAGCACATGCTTAAAACAAACCGCAAGACAACACAGTTTCACACTCCAAGAATGTGTATCAAGAACACAGGAAATGAATGATTTAAAGCCCAAACAGAAAATAATGGCTCTCAGCAGTGAAATGCCACTGTGCCCCATGCATCAAGATGTGTTCAGAATCTGATAAAGATAAAACGTTACCTCAAAAATAAGTTGCATTTATGGAGTTTTAACATAGGAAAGCATCCCAAGGTGTTTCACAGAAAGAGCAGTAGACCAAAAACTAGCTTAAAAGGAAAAGATATTAGGACACAATATTAAGAGAGTAGTTGAAAGGTACTGAGATGAAAAAGTTGAGAGAAGGAATTCCAGAATTGAGCCCTAGACAGGTTGAGGCACAACTGGTGACGGTGAGCAGACAGCAGTCAGAAAAGAAGCAGGAATTGGAGGAAGGAAGTGATTTGGCGGGGGGGCGGGGGGCATGTGGCTAAATGGAGAGACTGTATCGAGGATGAAGTTGAAGATAGTAAGCAATCTGAATAGAAACAAGGGCTAACACTTTAAATTCTAAGTGTCAGTGGATCCAATACCAACGTAATACAGGTGATTTTTAATGAGATACTCCTTGACTTTTAAACAGAAACTTCAAACTGTAACTGTACTTTTATTTAAAAAAAATACAAACATGGAGTTTCTTGTTCAATTCTTGTCCCAAACTGGATATTATGAAGGAGTAGTTTTAGACATGATAGTGACTTAATTCTGCTCGTGTCTGAGGGAGAAGCAGCCACATATCGACAGTGCTTCAGGATTTTATTTTAAATTATCCAGCGAGAGAAATTGATTGGGAAGCGGGAAGAGAGTCCATTCGGCTATGTGGGCTACTCGGAAGTCACCCACACAGAGTCGACAGCGGTCTCTTTTAGCGGGATAGCTCGCCCTGGTGCATGGTGTGGAGGAGCCAGTGTGAGCGGGGCGCACCGTGTTCCCCCCCCACCACCCCCAAGCCTAGCATAGGCCAGCACCCCCGCGGCCACACATCGAACTGTGGATTCACTTTGAACGCGCTGCCTTCAATCTAACCGTACGCTTTTAACTTTACCTTTAGCAACAAAGCGGCATTCTCGGGCGAATGGACGGAAGGCTTTACGTTTGTGCACTGCCTCCGATCCTGCTGGTTCTGGGCCTCATCAGAAGTGAAAGTGAAAATGCAAGAATCGCGAACAGACCTTGGACTGTGGGAGATAACATTTGTTTAAACAATGTATGTTACAACATGCTGCACAGTAACGTTAAATCGAACAAAGTGTCAGTAAAATGAAACATGTAGAAACCAGGCAGTGCTGGATTTGTCCGTCATTGTAAGGGTCAGCAGCACCCTGAAGAGTTCATCGTCGGGACCTGGATTTTGCAAGCGCAAAACACAGAACTGGTCTGAAAATGTAACCTTCATTTTACTCATGTCAAGTTACAGCCAACTTCCAGATTCCATTACAGTGCACTTAACTTTAAAACGTGTGTAGCACTAAAAGGTAATATGTAAGCATTTTTTTTATTCGTTCATGGGATGTGGGCATCACTGCCCGGCCAGCATTTATTGCCCATCTCTAATTGCCCTAGAAAGGAAGGTGGTAAGCCACCTTGAACTGCTGCAGTCCTTGTGCTGTGGTAGAAGAACACTGCTGCTGTCCACGATTTTGATTCATTGAGTGTGAAGGAACAATTAGGATGGTGAGTGGCTTTCAAGGGCACTTGCAGGTAGTGGTATTCCTATGAATCTACTGCCTTTGTCTTTCTAGGTGATAGCAATTCTGGAAGATGCTGTCAAAAGTGGAGTTCTTGCAGTGCTTCTTGCAGGAAATTACTGCGCCATTTTGCATGGTCAAGGGAGTGAACATTCAAGATGTTAGATGGGGCACCAATCAAGTGGGATATTTTGCACTGGATGGTGATAAGCTTAGAGTGATGGAGTTGCACTCATCCTGGCAAGTAAGGAGTATTCCATCACATTCCTGACTTCTGCCTGTGGATCATGGAAAGGCTTTGGGAGTCAGGAAGGGAATTACTCAATAAAAATTCTCAGCCTCTGATCTGCTGTCGTAGCCACAATACTTATACGATTGGTCCAGTTAAGTTTCTTGTCAATGGTGACCCCCAGGATTCAGCTATGGTAATGTTGGGATGGGACCTGGTTGAGGCATATAAGGTTATGAGGGGCACGGATGGGGTGGGTAGGAAGCATCTATTCCGCTTAGATGGAGGGTCAATAACAAGAAACATAATTTTAATGTGAAAGACTGTTGCGTAAGAGGGCATTTGAGGATTTTCTCCCACCCCCCCCACAGTGTGGTGGAAATCTCGCATGCACTTTCTACGAGGGTGACTGAGGCAGGAAATTGCAACATTTAAAAAAGGTACTTGGATGAGCACTTGAAATATCATAACATTCAACGCTATGGGCCAAGTGCTGGAAAGTTGGACTGGTCTAAGTTGTATAGTTTCTGTTGGTGCAAACTCAATGAGCCTCTTCTCTACTGTATGATTCTGTGGTTCTAGGACCTGATTATTGGATTCATTCCATGAACGTCATTCCTAAGACTTCTAATTTATGCCGACAAGGGAAAAGGGTGCAGGTAGCAACCCCACATTCTTTACTCCTAACCTGGCTGGCTCCACGCTGGGGACAGACATCTCTATTGACGTTGAGTGAATGTTGCCAGCTCTGAAACACCTGCTTTTGAAACAAAAAAAAATTCCAACTGGAAATGTAACTGAAGGAAATTATTCTTTCTTCAATAATTTCAGTCAACGATATTAATCTAATTTATTTAATCCTGTCTTGCACAGTCTAAGACAGTCCTTAAGAAAAATAATGACAGGTGGCATGCCTGTGTAATTTATCAACACTAACCCCAAACAAGGAAGGAAAGCTCATGATACTTAGAATTGAAACTTAATAGGACATCTGAGGAGGTTAGGCACCTCGTCAATGTCCACTATTAATGTCTGCTGCTCCAACTTGATTCAGCTCCTGCCAGTAAAATACACTAACAGGGGCCTTCTTGTGGCATGATGATAGTGTCCCTACCCCTTGACTGGGAGTCCCACGTTCAAATCCCACCTGCTGCAGAGGTGTACAATAACATCAGGTTGATTCGAAATATAAGTTGATTTTAAAAAAAATACACTGATGTTCTATAGATTTCAATAACTGTTAAACAGTCACGTGAAATCTACTCAAGATCACTGACCTGACTTCCTTTACTCCTTTGCTAGTTGTGTCAGATGATGATGGTTAGGCTGAAAAATAAAATGTAAACAAATTTTCATCCATCTCAGAAAGCATAAAACACAACAAATTCTCAGGACAGTTTAAAAAAAATGGAAAAATTGAAAAGTCTTGAGAAATTGGAGAAATGTAATTCTGCACCAGCCCTCACCTCATTTTTACACATTGTAAATTCAAGGACCCAGTTGCATATTTAGGAAATCACAAACAGTATCAAAATTCTTCCAAAAGGTGATTAAATAAAACTTAACTCATTCAATAAATAGTTTTCCAGTAGCTAAAATAGACCAAATATCTAAGTAGATTTCAATCAAGTGAAAAAACACACCAAAAAAGTATGCAATTGAAATAACACAACCTGAACATTAGCTCATTTACATTCAATGGGAAAATTTAAATTAGAAATTAACTATTTAATGATCCCTGCCAACTTCAGTATCCAAATGCCCTTCCAGTTTATTGGACAAAAATAGATAGGAAAATGATAATTCAAACTCATTTTTATCCACAAGAATTATTTTCAAAGAATACGTTGATTTTGAAGTACTGGAGAAACTTTGAGAAGTATCTCAAGAGTATAAGCTTTTAAAAAATATAGGTGGTATACAAAGAGAGATGGAAGATAATGTGAAATTCCCATTAAATCTAATGGCAAGACTTAATTTTACAATTTGAATTACCAAAAAATCTCAAATACTCCATAATAAATGTGACAATTCTGGTTAAATCTTTATGCTATGCATTTACAATGACAATATTTACATCAACATCAATGTGAACCATGAAAAGTAGTCATAACGTAATCTGGAATTCACGAATGGAATAACAGAACCCATTGCAGCTGGCTACAACCTGATAGGGAGGAATGGAACCAAGCAAATACACACCCATCCAACCAGATGACAGATCCTTCAATCCCTAAATTTCACCCACATTAAAGAAATCTCTTAAAATTGGTCTGAGCAAGCAAATCTTTAGGCATCTCATCCAAACCTATTTCACTAACTGTATTCTGTTTTCTGTCTTTTTGATAGTTGATACATTAAAAGGTCAATACCATTAACATTATGTACTCTGATATGAATTTCCTTCTTTCAATACTTTGGTTATTATGTGCTTTCACAATTTCAAATTTGTCAATTCTAATTCCTATTTCAGTGATCGTGTATTTAAAACTTATTTTTGTCAAAAACAAGTGCAATTTTCATTATACAATGTCTATATTCTAGGTATGTACATTTCATATTTGACAATTACATTACTGACAAGCAGATACAGAATAATTCTGCCTTTGTTTCAAAGACAGGTTTGCTCCATTCTCTCATACCAAGCCCTAATTTCCATCACATTGTCAAAGATCAAGAGATTATTCTCATAAATGGATGTAGTTTGTAGTTAGTACAACACATGAAGTTAGTCCCATAGTAATATGGTTTAACGAATTGATTAGAAAGATCAGGAGTAATTGTAATTAGATGAGTTTTATCAGGAATGACAGAAGCAAGTAAAGCATGCCAGCCTTTATAATCTAAGGAGGTTCCAAATTCACAAAAAGATTCACATTTAATTTTAGTGAAGAATAACTTGTTCCCTGTACTTCTAAACAACTAATTTTCAACTTGCAGAGAGTACAAATGTATATTTTGGAATTAATAAACATTTGCAGCTAATGCAGTAGCACCCGAAATAGCACTGATTTTCAGATTCTGTTTTTAGCAAAATCTATCTTGGTATTTCACAGGAACATTATAAAGCAAAGTTTAACAAAGTCACAGAAAAATATTACAGCAGATGGCCAAAAGCTTGCTCAGAGGTAGGTTTGAAAGATTGCCGTAAAGGGATAAAAGAAAAGTAGGGAGTTTTAGGGGGAAGAATACAGAGCATAGACCTAGGCAGCTGAAGAGATAGCTACTAATGGTGAATGTAAAATTGGGGATGGTCAAGAGATGAGCAATTAGAGGAGCACAGATATTTCAAAGGTTCGAGAGTTAGAGGTGATTATAGAGATAGAAAGCAGCAAGGTTTCAAGGGATTGGAAAACAAGTATGAAAGTTGCAAATACAATTAGGCACTTTGCACACAATTGCATTATCTCCTTGATATCAGCAATTCTGTGGAATTAGCTTTGATTCTATGGTGGGAGAGAAATTTCCATTATTTGTACTGATAAATTTATTACCTTGATATCATTAAGAAGTCATAGTGATTCAGATCCTGTTTAACATCTGCTGAAGCTCAAGATTATACACCAGCAGCATATGAGCAAAGCAGATCTTAACCATACCTATGCAATACTTGCTCAGAGCTATTAACCTATTAGGAATATAAAGAATCTAACTGTAAATTAACCTCACTAATCCTATGACAGCCATTAGAAACTTACATATATTACCATTGGAAGTTCTTGTGATACAGTGGTGGTGTCCATACCTCAGGCTCAGAAACATTGGGTGAGAGTCCTACTTGAGGTCTTGTCAGCCATGAAAGGTGGATCTGAAATCTGGATCTGAAATCTGGCTAAATAGATTGATTATCAGTTTGTAAATCCTTCCAACACACCTGACGGCAGGTGATAAGACTGGGAAGCCTCCTGGTCAGCCACTGCTGTACTTTGCTCTAATCTGAAGTCCGTCCATGGCCCAATCTTCAAACAAGAAAGGGGATAAACAAAATACAATTACTTGTTTTGAAGTTGAGCTCCTACTACCTTTAGATGCTTTATCTTCACATGTAAATTCTTATTGCTTAATAACACTAGTAATTCATTGTATAATGAATAACATACAATCTTAGAAGGACTAATAAAGTTATGTTAGTCCACAAATTTCTGCTTGACGCCATCTTTGATAACCTCAGTAAGAGATTACCTGCTTCACTCAGCAGAACACTGCAGTCACTGTTGTGATAAGTATACCTTATG